AGGCAACAGATTCATGCTTTCAAGCTTCTCGGCAAAAATGCAGGGATTTCCGTTGCGCTACAGCAAGCAATTTTCCAACAACGTCAGCAGCGCCAAGCAGCTGTCACAACTTCAGCTCAAACTGCCGCTGCATCAAAGACTCCCCAACCTGGCTCGGATGCCACAAAGCCCACGCCAAATGGTGTTGATGCTGCCGCCCAAGATGACGCTCTCTCCCTCCCTAAACCCCACACATACAAGACTGTCAAGTCACCATATGGCAGCAGTATGATTCGGCCCTCTATCAAATATTTCGACCATGCGCAGCGAAAGAACCGCTGGTTTATTCCTGGCGTCTTCCCGACCGGCATTGACTTTGACCACCTGCGTTACGAGAGAGAAGTCGTCGTCTTCAACCGCATGAGCCAGCGATACTCAGAGCTGAAGAATCTGCCCGCCAACATCGCCCACTGGGATACGACCAAGGAGAACGTCGAAGTTGACGACTCTGTAAAAGTCAAGGCCGTCATTGAAATGAAAAGCTTGGCTTTATATGCCAAGCAACGAGCTCTTCGTGAGAAGATTGCGCGCCAGATGATGCACTATGATAATCTGGCAATGACGACCAACCGGACAAACTACCGTCGTATGAAGAAGCAGAATGTCCGGGAGGCTCGCATTACAGAGAAGCTTGAGAAGCAGCAGCGTGATGCCCGCGAGAATCGCGAAAAGAAGAAGCACAACGACTTCCTCCGAGCCATTTACAACCACCGCGCCGAGATCACCGAGACCGCGGCGGCTCAGAAGAACAAGTCACATAAGCTCAGTAGGCTCATGTACTCTCACCATTTCAATATTGAAAAGGAAGAGCAGAAGCGTATTGAGAGAACAGCGAAGCAGCGTCTGCAGGCTCTCAAGGCCAACGACGAAGAAGCGTATCTCAAACTGCTTGACCAGGCCAAGGACACCCGTATTACGCATCTGCTTAAGCAGACCGACGGTTTCTTGCACCAGCTTGCATCTTCAGTCAAGGCTCAACAGCGCCAAGCTGCCGAGACATACGGCACAGACATGGGCGAGTTCCCTGATGAAGAGAGTGAAATCGACGAAGAAGAAGTTAGCGGCAAGAAGATTGACTACTACGCTGTGGCCCATCGCATCCGCGAAGAAGTCACCCAGCAAGCAAGCATTCTTGTTGGAGGCTCGTTGAAGGAATACCAAATCAAGGGTCTGCAGTGGATGATTTCACTGTACAATAACAACCTCAACGGTATCCTTGCAGATGAAATGGGTCTCGGAAAGACGATCCAGACCATCAGTCTGATTACCTACCTGATTGAGCAGAAGCAGCAGAGCGGACCCTACTTGGTCATTGTCCCTCTAAGTACCTTGACCAACTGGAACCTCGAATTCGAAAAGTGGGCCCCGTCTGTATCTCGCGTCGTTTACAAGGGTCCCCCCAATACCCGTAAGCTACAGCAAGAGAAGATTCGCCAGGGACGCTTCCAGGTACTGTTGACTACCTACGAGTACATTATCAAAGATCGACCCATTCTCAGCAAGATCAAGTGGTTCCACATGATCATCGACGAAGGTCACCGTATGAAGAACACGCAGTCCAAGCTCAGCGCAACTATCCAGCAGTACTACAACACCCGTTTCCGACTCATTCTCACCGGTACTCCTCTTCAGAACAACTTGTCTGAGCTGTGGGCCATGCTCAACTTTGTCCTGCCAAACATTTTCAAATCAGTCAAGACCTTTGACGAGTGGTTCAACACTCCCTTTGCGAACACTGGTGGTCAAGACAAGATGGAACTCACTGAAGAAGAGCAGATTCTCGTCATTCGACGTTTGCACAAGGTCTTGCGACCTTTCCTCCTGCGTCGTTTGAAGAAGGATGTCGAGAAAGACTTGCCCGACAAGACCGAAAAGGTCATCAAGTGCAAGTTTTCCGCGCTGCAGTCCAAGCTCTACAAGCAGATGGTTACCCACAACAAGCTGGTTGTCAGCGATGGCAAGGGTGGCAAGACTGGTGCTCGTGGTCTGAGTAACATGATTATGCAGCTGCGAAAGCTCTGCAACCATCCGTTTGTCTTTGATGTGGTCGAGAATGTCATGAATCCCCTCAACATCAGCAACGATCTTCTTTGGAGAACAGCTGGTAAATTCGAGTTGCTGGACCGAATTTTGCCCAAATACAAGGCAACTGGCCACAGAGTTCTGATGTTCTTCCAAATGACGGCTATTATGGATATTATGGAAGACTACCTTCGTTACCGAAGCTACAAGTATCTGCGTTTGGACGGTACGACAAAATCCGATGAACGATCCGATCTCCTGAGAGACTTCAATGCGCCCAACTCTGATTACTTTTTGTTCTTGCTATCTACTCGTGCTGGTGGCTTGGGTCTCAACTTGCAGACGGCAGACACTGTCATTATTTACGATTCTGACTGGAATCCTCACCAGGATTTGCAGGCACAGGATCGTGCCCATCGTATCGGCCAGAAGAATGAAGTACGAATTCTGCGTCTGATTAGCTCTAATTCCGTCGAGGAGAAGATTTTGGAACGTGCTCGGTTCAAGCTAGATATGGACGGCAAGGTTATCCAAGCAGGTCGTTTCGATAACAAATCCTCCGAGACAGATCGTGATGCTATGCTTCGAACTCTCCTGGAAACCGCCGATATGGCTGAGTCTGGCGAGCAAGAAGAGATGGAAGACGAAGAGCTCAACATGTTACTTGCCCGTAACGATGACGAAATCGTCACCTTCCAGAAGCTTGACGAAGAGCGACAAAAAGAATCCATCTATGGTGGTCCGAAAGGAAAACCGCGACTCATGGGCGAAGACGAATTACCTGACATCTATCTCAACGAAGGCAACCCTATTGAGGATGACGCCGAAGAGATTATACTTGGTCGCGGTGCTCGTGAGCGTACCAAGGTGAAATATGACGATGGCCTAACAGAAGAACAGTGGCTGATGGCGGTGGACGACGACGAGGATTCTCCAGAGGCGGCAGCAGCACGTAAACAGGCACGCAAAGATAAGAGAGAGGCCAATAGGGTCAAGAGATTGGGTGGTCCGGACGACTCGCCTTCCGTCAGTCGCGCCAGCACAGAAGAATTGGAGACACCCAAGAAGAGAGGTCGCAAACCCGGAAGCAAGAACGAGAAGCGGAAGGCAGAAGACGCAGACGATGAGCCTCCTGCCAAGAAGCGACGTGGCCCTCAGGGCAGACCCAGCAAATCTGCTGCCCATAACGATTCTCGACTGGGATCTCAGCAACGAGAGGTGCTTCAAAAGAGTTTACGAGCATTGTACGACAGCCTGATGAACTTGGAAGTGGACGATATTGAACCACCAGCCGAGGACGACGAGTCCGACGCCGGTAAGCGTCTCATTATCGGGCCGTTTGTCAAGCTGCCTCCGAAACGCGAGTATGCCGACTACTATGTGATTATTCAAAACCCCATTTGCATGAATAACATACAGACGCGTATCAAGAAGGAGGAGTACAACTGCTTGAGCGACCTTCGAAAAGACTTTGACTTGCTAATACGCAACTGTCAAACGTACAACGAAGACGGAAGTATCCTGTATCAGGATGCGAAGACGATGGATGTAAGTTGCTAAAGAAAAAAAAGATGACCGCCTACAGAAAGCATATACTAATTCATTGAAACAGGAATTCTTTACGAAGAAATACCAAGAGGAGCTGGACGCGCACCCTGAGCTTCTTGATCTAGAGCCCAGTAAGGCAGGATCAGCAGCGCCTTCAGGTAACGGAAGCACACCACAGCCAAGCGGAACTCGGATCAAGATCATCTCTAGCGCAGCGCGGGAAGCCAACGGGGCACGATCTGCCGCACAGAGCGATGAGGACTGAGCGAGAGAAAACGAGAGATTGACGACTGCGCATATTCCTCTGTCCTTGATGACTGAGAAGAGTGACGTGCCAACTTACGACGAAATTGGGGGTTTACGTGCTTGCAAGCGGGAATATAATCTTTAAAAAGAAGAAAAACAAAAATTGACGGCACTAGGAGGAAGAAACCTCCCAACGATTGCCCCGCAAGCGGCTTATTTAATCATGTATTCTGCGGCGTTGGAAGGATCGGCGTTTTATTTACATGAACCCAAGGAAAGGGGGAGGAAACAGGTCCAAGGCAGGCCAAAATACCAACAATGTACAAGATGAAGAACGAAGGAAGGGAGAGAGTCACACAGAGAGAGGAGACGAAGGGTTGAAGCATCTGGGCGGCATATTTGGATGACCAGAGAGATTCTTTTTTGTTGTTCCTTCTAATTTTTCTAATTTGGGAATCAGAAGATGAGGGGGAGACGAGTCGAGAGCAGATGGGCGCCTTTGTCTACTTTGACTGGTGGCTGGCTGCGTCTTGGTGAGTTGGTCGTCTTCTTGCCTGTGCATGTCTAGATAAAGTAGTAAAAATGTATTCTTAATAGACGTTGATACAGTCGCGACAAACTAGCGTGCAGAGCATGTGAATGGTTCTGTTTCTGTTTAACGACAATCAAGTAATCTATACTCGTAACATGAAAGAATCACGTTGCTTCTATTGCTCCAATGCCATCACATCCTTCACATGTTAGAATATTGAGACTATTTCTACACATGCGTGAAGCTGGAATAGCGCTAGGCGGTGCTGCTAAGCCTTAGCGCTCTGCTGCACTGTACTGTACAGCACTAGAGACTGGCCCACCGCCCCAGATGCCGTCAGCGCCGCCAATCCATCTTGGCCGCCGCAGCTTCGCCACCCACTCGGGCAACCTCTACTGGCCAATATCTGCAACTGATCCCCTGCCTATTGGGCCACTTTGCATCTCTCCTTTTTTCTCTTATCGATGCCCAGTGAGATGGCATCAAGCTGAAAAGGACACACTGGCGACATTTACTTCTGTTACTTGCAGTCTTTTGCTGGGCGGCGGCCGTTGAAGGTTGGAATTACGATAAAGAGTTTAAAGCAAGGGCTTAGAACTCGGATGACGACAAGATGAGGAAGACGCTTATTTTGTGCTTTATTCATGGGTTCAAGGTACGTTGATTTTGGGAGTTTTGCTTGTGAATGATGCCCCCCCACCGCTTGTGATGGGAGGGTCTGTGATGGCGGGATGGAATCGTGGGAGTGAAAGGTGCGGTTTGGCACAAGAGAGCTATGGGCAATTGGGATGAAATGACACTTTGTGGCTGGGCTGATGGAATGAGATTGGGTTTGATGATTGAGTGATTGACTGACTGACGGGTTATTATAGGGGGGCGAGTCGACATTTGGCAACGATTATTCGTTTGTCGAAGACCTGCGCACTGCCGTGGCACAGGAGCTGCCCGGCTTCAGTATCAAGGTGCTGGTGTATCCAAAGTATGACACGAGGGGCGACCTGGGCGAGGCCGTGAGCAGATTCCGCAGCTGGTGAGTTCGATATTATGACGATATTACGATTGAATCAAGGTAAACGAATCGTTGGGCTGACGTTGGGCTGGGGGCTCAACAGGCTGGAGAACAAAATCATCGACTATGAAGTCGCCAAGGGAACGGCCTCACCAACCGTCGAGCCGTCCATCCGCACCATCCTGATTGGCCATTCCATGGGCGGCATTGTCGCCGCAGAGACCGTCATGGGCCTGGCGTCGGAGCGGCCCATCTACACCGAGGACGGCATCGACAAGTCTGGCGGCCGCCCCAACTTCAACGGCCTCATGTTCCCGCGCATCCAGGGCGTCTTGGCCTTTGACACGCCGTATCTGGGCATTGCGCCCAGCGTGGTTGCGTATGGTGCTGAGGGCCACTACCAAACGGCGCAGTCGGCGATGGCGCAGCTGGGCTCGGTGTGGAAGATGGTCGGCGGCGGTGGTGGAGGAGATGCTGCTGCTTCCTCTTCTTCTGCGCTCACGACGACAGCATCTTCGGCTGCCAAGAACGACAGCGGCGGGTGGGGCTGGGGCAAGATTGCCATGTATGGAGCTGCTGCCAGCGCCGTCGCAGCGGGTAGTGCCGCGGCGTGGATGAACCGCGAGCACATTTCCGTCGGGTGGTCGTGGGTGTCTTCGCATCTCGAGTTTGTGGGCTGTCTCGCCCGGCCCGAGGCTCTCAAGCAGCGCGTGGCGTACATGGTGAGGCTCAGCTCGGAGCTCAACATTGGCTATGCGAATGTCTACACGCGGCTGGGCAAGGCTGCGGAGAGCAAGGAGGTCAGCATGGTGGGCACGGTGCTGGGCAAGGACAGGACGTTTTGCGTGGTGCCGAGCAAGCAGCCGTCGGGGAAGTGGATCGACAATGTCAACGATACGGCCAAGGATGAGGTGACGGCGCATGTTAGTACGTTTTGACTCTATACTGTTTTCCCCATTCTCTTTATGTCTGATGCTGACGATCTGTGTAGCCATGTTTGAACCGCAGAATAATCCGGCGTACGGGAAGCTGCTGCATGATGCCAAGAGTCTGATTGCCATGTGGGTACAGAGAGATTGGTCTGAGGGTAGCCATGAGCCGCGGTCAAGGTCACAGCAGTCGAGGTCTCCGCAGCAGGGGCAGTATCAGCAGCAGCTCCAGCGTTTGAGATGAACGAAGTTGGCGACGCAGTTTTAAAGGATATATGATTAAACGGATACAGGTGTTTTGAACTTGGGAGACAGGAGGCGATTGATTTTGTGTGTATTTTCTACAATTAGCATTATTACTGTCTGTACCTACTTATGCAATGCACACTCCGTATTTTGACCATATTTCCTTACTTCTTTATATCGTTGCATCTTTGTCGTTTATATCGTGTCCAATGACAATGACTTGCACCAAATTCTATCAGATATGCAAACAGTGCGTCCTCTTGATAGATTGCGATTCCTTGCCTCCCACTTTTCAGCCATTATAACCATCTCTTCCTTCTCTTTTCGTACTCTATTGTTTATTGAGTCGCCTTCTCGTTCTTGGCCTTGAAGCCGCGCATGACCTTTCTTCGCTGGGCCATCATGTGAGTGTAGAGGATATAAGCGCCTATTTAAACGCGTCTGTTAGAACTCTTCTCTGGCCGTTTCTTTTTAATTTCTTGATTGATTGCCAACTTACCTGGAACATAAACCGCCAAAACGCCATACAAAACATACGGCATCAAGCTCAGCGGAGACTCCGTCGCCGTCGCAGCCGGGCCCACCGCAGCCAGATACACCAGCGAGCACTCGCTCAGGATGCCAATCGGGTACAGAATGAAAAACGTGTTGTAGCGCAGCCAGGTGAGGATGCGCGGCGTCAGGCCGGACAGCGTCAGCGCAAAGTAGGTGTAGCGGATGACCTCGGTGACGGACCAGGCGATGAGCATGGAGCTGTACGTGGGCGACTGGATGGCGAGGTACGGGTAGAGGAAGAGGACGCCCCAGACGAGGAGGAAGCGCGAGGCGACTTGCATGAGCGTCGTGAAGAGGGGCGCGCGGACGACTCCTGGTGTTGATGTGTTAGAAATGTTTAATTATTAAAGATGATGGTAATTGTTGGCTCACCGAAGAGGGAGTGCAGAATCTCCATGGCAGCGGCAGTTTGCGTCCATTTGGTGAATTCGCCGACGTTCAGGTAGACCGACTCTGGGCCGGATTCAACCAGCGACGTGATGGTGCCTTGGAGGACCATACCCCAGGCAAAGGCAGAGGCGGCATTGTAGAGGATGAGGTAGCCGTTCTTGACGGGGGATGAGGCCGGCTTTTGGGCCGATGCGCTCTTGGAGGGCGCCATGTTTTTCGAAAGGCGAATTGGGTGAATGGAAAAAGAAGATGGAGAGGGAAGAAATGGTGATGCTGGAGGTTCTGGCGGTTGGATGGGAATTTTTGGAGCTGCCAGGGGACCGTTCCAACAGTTGGGGATCCGCTGTGGGGCTTGCCGAGGCGGGGATCCGCGGCTTTGGACGATGAGATCTGCGTACATCAGATGAATGAAGCAGCAATAGAATAAAATTAAAAGAATACTCAAATAACTGATGCAGCTGGCTATTAGTTCTAGATCATGATGTAAGCATGTAGACAGAGAAAAAGTCACCTCCTCCTCTCGACAGCCCCCGGATCTTGTGCTTCATCACTCTCCCTACCAAAACAGCTTCCTCCTCCACGCCATAAGACTCGCCCGATGCATAACCACAACCAGATTAAAGAATCGCTCCAGTGAACTCTCTTCTCTAAACAGTTCCAAACACCAGGTGCCCCCATAAACAGCCGCAACTTCTGAATTTCCGAGTCATCTCTCCCAATCTCTACCACCCGGTCCATCTTCCCATCGTCAAAGGCAATACCTCTCCAGAGTAAAATCCCCAGCTTCCGTGCTGCTTCCGCTTCTCTCAAAAGTTGAAATCCATCACCGCTTCTTGTTCCATCTCGTCCAATGGAAGACAAGAATTCACCCCAAAAGAGCCGACGCAGCTCCTCGTGGTCGTGATAGTATCTAAACCCCCCTTCAGAACAAGGTCTATCCTCTCCAAGAACTTCCTCCACCCCATACAGAGCCATTCCAAAAGGAAGCCACTCAGCTTCAGCCCAATCAATCAGTCCCGTCAAGTGCCCGGTCTCGGCGTCAACCATCATGTTTCCCGGGAGAAGGTCGCCGTGTGTAACACACCAGTTTGACGCCTCCACCACGTCGAGCTGGGCCTGCGCCTCTGATACGTGCGCGAGCAGATCCTTTTCCGGCAATCCATCCAGCAAGTTAAGACGCCATCGTATCGATTCTCCGACTCTCCCCTTAGTCATGGCGCCTGCTGGTAGTATACCTTCCATTCCCCGTGAAGGCTGCCGTCCGTGAAAGCCGAGCGCGAATACCTTGGCCAGGCCGCTCATCAGTCTCCTCTTGAATATCTTGTCGTCATCAGCCCGGCACCCTTTCTTCCTCTTCCGAAATTCTGATAAGGGAATCCCTCGTATTCTTTGATGCAGGTAGATATGCATCATCACTGACGGCCTGACATCCGCATCTGGTACTTGTTGTATTGAGACTCCTTCTACTTCGCCGAGATGTGTAGTCGCCGGAGCAAATTCGCCGTAGATAGACTTGACTCTTCTGCAGGTATCTATATCCAACATGAACGCCTCCGGTCGAAACTGCAGCAGGTATTCATCTGATATATTCAGCGTATAAGAACAGTAGCCCTGCGTCGCCGCTGGTTTCGTTGCCGAGCCGGGAAACTGTACACGAGCGTACTCATCACATGCGTCTCTAGTCGCTCCGTCAAAGCCGTTGCGAAGGAAGAATGCTTCTATTTCTTCGTCGTGGGGATATATGTTGGTGTTGGCCGTGTAGCTGCCGGCTGTTTTGTCATCGCTGCTCCCAAACATATTCAAGCAAGTGATTTAGGTACCGTTGCAAGTTGCCAAACATCTATCAAGGCCTGAAAATACTATCTATATTGTGTAAGTAGCATCAAGGCAATGGGATGAACGTTTTTCAAGACATCTGTTTGCATTATGTAAAGTGTGACAAGATGAAAGCTCATAAGGCAGAAGCTTATAAGACAAATAAATAAGCCTGTAGGATTGCCATCAAAAAGCCACCCCCACACCAAACCATCCTCGTAGCCCTTCGCACATGACACGACCCCTCTTTAGCTGAGGCTGGACGCGAACACGTTTTCGCTATCATTGGCTTGCCCGGACTTGGTGCCTGCGGCGAATCCCAGCTCGGGCATTGCAGGGTTCAAGCCATGCCATGTGAGAAGAGCGCGTTTTCTTCTATTTCTCGCCGAATCAACAAATACACTTGCTCACTCATACACGCACACATGGCATGCTTCTCCATTAATATGTTGCAGTGAGTCTCTGGACAAGATAATCGCCGCTATTTATGCTCTCATACTTCTTCTCTTTCTCCGTTGCATATGTTCCTGGCAGCACTTCGATGAGGTCCTTGAAGTTGGGATTGCAAAAGTATCTGCATTTGAGATTAGCACCGTAAATTTTCATCAAGCTCATTTGGGTGATGAAATTTTGCTTACGCAATGCTATACCGTGAAGGATACGTCTTGCCTTCTTTTCGCGGGGGTTCAACTACGCGATGAATGGTGCTCTTGATCGTATCATTGCTCCATCTCGCCAGCAAGTCTCCGGCGTTAACAACGATGGTGTTCTCGATGGGAGTTGCGTCGATAAAATTCCCATTTGGACTCTTGACTTGCAGGCCGCCGCGGTTGTCTTGGAAGAGTAAAGTGATTGATCCATAATCCTGCATAAAAAAAGACATTAGAAAAGAAGGAATGTGTAGTATAATACAGCCTCTCCGGGTCTCTTACGCTGTGTTCACCAGCACGGACTTGGCCCGGCGTGTTGAAAACATCAGACTTGACTTCTGGGTAGTGCAGCAGTCGTAGAGTGTTATCGCCAACGTCTAGAAACCTGTCAAAAAAGGTTTCTTCAAAGCTCATCCCCGTGGCAATAGCCCGCATAACCTCTACATGCAAAGCTTTGCACTCCTGAAAGAAGCTCTTCATGTCTTCCTTGAAGCCCGTAACTGCGCCTTGTTCCTCGGGCCAGTTGTTCGGGTGGCCGGCCTCGTCATCGCGGCCGATTTCAAAGCTCTCTTTCAAGTCCGGGACTGCGCTACGAATCTTTTCTACTTCTGCAGCGTCATTTAGCTGGCTGACTTTTTCTCGCCCGTGAGCCACATAACCGCGATTGGCCTGTGGAGTAGTCCACTCCAGCGCGGCTTTCTTCTCCAAAGGCTGCGCGAAGAAGTTTGCTGACATGGCAAAAGCATGTCTCACTGTGTCTTGAGAAATGGGATGGTTTTTGAGATAGATGAAGCCAGCGTCCTGGAAGCCTTTGAGAATGGCTTTGGCCGTCTCCAAGCGTGTGGATGAATCACCATTCAGGAATCTTGAAAAATCGATGAGCTAGATAGGTATAAGTCACAAGTCAGTTTTCAAGCTGTCTGCTCGCTCAGAATCGACTAACGATCTGGGTTTAGGACACCAAGAGAGTGAAGAAAAATGAACATAAAAGTAATTTTGCATACGGGAATGAAAAGCCCGTCTTGGCTCACTGCAGCGTCCGTCGCCATTGCGGCTTGTTTCAACAATTTGTAATAAGTTTAAAAAAGATGTAAGTTGATACACAATTATCCGATAGATAAATTCGTGTCTATGTATTGCTATGGGTAGGACTCATTTTGTCAAACTCAAACTCCAAAATTAACGCAGTTACATGGCTCCCGTCTAACCACGCTCTCGTCGGCGGCGCTGCCAACGTCACCAAGCAGCGGGGGATAAGATCGAGCCACCAAGCGTGAGTATCTCGAGCCAGAGTTTAAGACAGCGATAAGCTGGGGTTGAAAGACGGCAGCTAGCACGCTTAGCCCGGGGCGTGTGCATCCAATGGCGGATCTGGCGGTTTCTGACTGGTGACAGCTGGTGGACCTTTGACAACTGGTGCGGGGCTTGTGATCTTTGACGCACCGGTGCCCCTCAGTGCTCGTCAAGGTGGTGTTCTGCCGATAATAGTTTGCGTATCAACACATGTATCGATGTAACGTCCTCTGTCACTAACAAAGTTGCTGAGTGAAAGGGCGGATCCCCGCTATGTCTCTAGTTGTCCGCGGGGCAGATGCTTTTGTATCTCAACACCAACGATGCCCAAGCTCTTCACCTCCCGCTGAATCCATCGGCAGCTCCAATCTTTGAGCCGAACTATATGACAATCTAATTTTTCCTTCCCAACGTGTGTGATGGCCGCTTCCCAATCGCGCGTCGTGGACATCCACACGCACATGTATCCGCCGTCATATATCAGGATCCTCGAATCTCGTTCCACCATCCCCCTTGTTCGCTCATTCCCTCAAGCACCAGATCCGCGATTGATATTGCTCGAAGCCGAAGTCAAATCGCTCGAGGAGGCCACCAACAATCCAGAAGCCAAGCTTCCTGGACGGCCGCTCACTTCTCATTTTGCATCGCTTGCTCAAAAGGTCCATTTTATGGACACTCACGGCATTGACATTTCGGTCATATCCTTGGCCAACCCATGGCTTGATTTCCTCAGTGCCTCCGAGTCAGGGAAGATGGGTGAATCCGTCAACGAAGAGTTCTCGCGCATGTGCGGCGAGCACCCTGGTCGCTTATTCTTCTTTGCGACTTTACCTCTGACCGCGCCTCTCGAGACGGTGCTGACCTCGGTATCCCATGTTCAGGGCCTCAAGTACTGCAGAGGCATCATTCTCGGTACTTCAGGTTTAGGCAAGGGGCTCGATGATCCCGCTTTACTTCCTATTTTTGAAGCTGTAGCAGCGGCTCGACTGACTGTTTTCCTGCATCCGCACTATGGGTTGCCCAATGAAGTATGGGGCCCTCGGGCCAGCGCCGAATATGGCCACGTCTTGCCGCTTGCTCTAGGCTTCCCAATGGAAACCACCATTGCGGTGGCACGGATGTATCTGTCAGGTGTCTTTGACAAAGTACGAGATTTGAGAATGATCTTGGCCCATAGCGGAGGCACTCTTCCCTTCCTAGCAGGCAGAATTGAAAGTTGTATCATGCACGATGGACAGCTTGTCAAAGAAGGTAAGGCGGGAAAGGGCCGACGAACAATTTGGGAGGTCCTGAAAGAACAACTGTACTTGGACGCCGTCATCTATTCCGAGGTTGGACTGAAAGCAGCAATAGACGCCAGTGGTGCTGATAGATTAATGTTTGGAACTGACCATCCCTTTTTCCCGCCACTCGAAACAGATGAGCAAGGAGAATGGGAGAGTGTGAGTTTGAATGCCGATGCTGTAGCCAAGGCTGTTGGAGAAGGGTCAAAAGAGGCAACGGCAGTCATGGGAGGCAACGCGATAAGCATCCTTCGTCTTGACCAAGATTTTTGATCATCGCGAGTTAGATGTTATCAAGTCATTAAGCCAGGCTGCAGGCCAACAATGCAGCGAAATAGCCTGATGTGACCCGGCGGTCTTTCATCTCTTGTTCCTGAGAACCATTAGATAGCAGCTGTGTCGTGTTGAAATTTCATCTCCGCCTCATGGATTCGCTGCCTCGCTTGTCTCATTTCCTTCTCAGCTTCCTCGAGCTCCTGATTATTCGTCGTATCCAGTTTCTGCAGGTTTCTCACTGCTTGAACAGCTCGCAACTTGTCGCATACCAGTTCCCAATACATCTTCTTTGCAGTGCCGATATCAACGAGATAATCGCCGGGCACAATAACAGCGCCATTCGCGGGCCCCGATGGCTTTTTCACGGCGCCTGTAGCCTTGAGAGACTCCTTGACCTGTTTTCTCCTTGCTTTCTCCTCGTTCTTTTCCTTCAGTCGTCTTCTTGCCTCAGCCAAATCTTCCATTTCCTGCGCCGCTTCAGCCTGCCGCTTCTTCTCCTCTTCATGTATCCGTTGCTCTTCCGCCAGACGCTCCCGCTCCTTGTCCAGCTTCTCCCGATCTCGCTGCTGCTGCTGCTCCCTTTGCTGCCTATGCGCATTTTCGCGAGCTTCAAGGTCGTCGGCGAATTTTTGATGCTCCTTGTCCATTGCTTCGCGCTCTTGTTTGCGCAGCAGTTTGGCTTTTAGGGACTGGTCGTATGCAACGCGAGCATCGGCATCGGACAAAATGTCCCTCGCCCTCTCGAAGAGCTCCCATTTTGAAGCATCATAGTCCTCGCCTCTCTTGTCGGGGTGATACTTTAACGACGCTTTTCTCCAGGCTCTGCGAATGTCTTCTTTGGAAGTGAGAGCATCCACGCCGAGGAGCTCATAGAGGTCAATATTTTTGTCCGCATACTCATTTGCGAACCGCAAGAGGTCCGCCTTGTCGTCGCTCATTGTGAGAGATTGTCGACCTTCTCTTGGCTACTATGAGATGGCAGATTGTGACAGCAGCGTGTATATCGAGTGTGCTGCTGCCTTTAGAAGTGAGAAACTTGAAAGAAAATGTCTTCGAATGTCTGAAGAGAAGAATTACTGGTAAAAGGACAGTATAAATTCAAAGATTTCGAGATGTTGCTGGGGTGGCGTTTCACTAGCTCATGAGATTTGCGAGTGACAGGCTGCAGCGCGCCGTCGCGCCTTAGTCTGATACGTCATCACGTGACAGCCAGAGAGCTCTTATCGCCGTCTATGAAGCCTGGTATTACAACATCTTATAATGTCCCTTTAACAATCACCAAGTTGCTTGTCAAAGGAATTCCAAAATATTTCATGCTTATCCTGATGTCCGAATATACAATGCGCCGCGCTACTAATCATATTATTACATCATTGAGAAATTGCTAATTCGAAACGACAAGGTCGCTTGCACGTTGCGGAGCGGGAATCGTCTTCCCCTGCCAGACAATGTCCTGCGTCTCAGCAAACAGGTAGACATTTGGCGTTCCCGCAGACAGCTGAAGCAGATATCGTTCATGCGGCCCAAGGGGCTCCTCCACCATGATTCTTTGCTTGGGATCTGTGGGTTCGGAGCTCTTTGGCCCGACATATTCCCAAATCCACCTCCCGCCTTGCCGCCTCTCAAGTCCAGGTTCAACCGAAGGGCCTTGCCACCAGCTTGGGCTTTGAGGAATGGGGTCTTTGTATGTTTCATTGGTATACTTCAATTGCCAGTTCGACAGTGATGGGCAGGTCCAAACGGACTTGTCATCCAAACCAAGACCTTTGCAGGCTAGCCTGATCCTCGCAGAGCAGTGAATGCGCTCGTTGGTGTCTTGCAGGAATATGTTGGTCTCGCGGTCCGTTTTGGGGTCAGTTCGCTTATACAAGCCAGGCGTCCTGTCTTCGAAGCCTGCAAGTTTGTATATGAAACTGCCGGCTTTGTTGATGGACCCGAGTGCCCATGGCCTCACCGGCTGATCATTCGAGTAGATGGGATCAATAGCCCACTTTGGACCTCCTTTCTTTGAAGCAGCTTTCTGACTTTTGTAGTAGCTGATAGTGCTCTGTGCGACCCTCTCGAGACATGACAGGTCGAATTCGACTCCTACAGAGGCCATCTGGTCCATCATCCCTATTGGCAACATCAGTCTTTAGCTTTCGCTCTTTCTTGCATGATCCAGCTCATGTGTCAAAAATTACTTACATGCGAGTGAAGCATCGGCGGCTTCCTGATCTGGCCATCCACCACCACAGTTGCCATGATTGCCTGGGAACCAGACCTGTCTTAGCTCAGTCGTCATTTTGTTCTGCGGGAGGCGTTCCCAGACAGCTGGGCTGAATGGAGCGCGGCTTTCATCCAAAGCGAGTGCCTGAAAAGCATGCTCTATTCTATCCGATAATGAAGTATCATGCCATCTATATGTGCTGTGTCGGTTAGCTTTCTGCGGCGAAATACCCGGAGAGAGTGGACTTATTCTTTGTTCGCGGGGTGTATGCCTATCTTTTCAAGCCAGGGTATCTTGGGTATGCCTAGACTGCCGACAGTATCCCAGACACAAACAGCCTTGATTTTGATTAAGTCGCCATTCTCTTGGTACACGCGAGTATACCCTAGCTTTTCAAGCCTTTCACGGTACACAGCCGCTGCGTTTGGCCCCTTGGGCTTATTGTCGAACGGCTGTCCTGGAAACTCGTCTTTATACCCGTCGTTATTCCAATTCTCCATATCTTTGAAGATGGGATAAAAGTATTCCAAGCCTTCTCTAGTGAGAAGACCTAGATTACCAACCATTCCGGCAACCGATCGGGCTGTAAAGGCCCCTCTAGAGAACCCAACCAGGAATATCTCATCGCCGTCTATATGATTGACGCACAAGTACGAATACGCATCGCGAACTCGCTATCCATCGCAATTATTAGTATATGCCCGTGAAAAGAAGAAGTGAAAGGACTTCATCTCTTGCCTCAGAGAGACCCAGGCCAAATGCGCCGCCTGTGAAAGTATCAATGGCATTACTGCCCGTCCCCACGCCGGATTCATATGTCATGACTTGCAGCGTGCCATCGCGGCATCGCCGCTTGAAGCAACGGCTGATTCGAGTCACGTTTGACGGTACTTGAAGTGTCGGTGGTTTTCCCAGAGTCGGCTCATTATAGCCGTTGTCGCTATTCATCCACGTCCCATCGCAGCAGACAATGAGTCGCTTGTGGACTGGGGGCTGAGAACCCATTAGAGCAATCTCCTAAGATTTTGACAAAGTCGTGTATACGCGAGAAGAGAAATATTACAAGAAAATGATCCAAACTAATAGACTACCAACCAGTGTTTTTATATATCCTGCGTAACAATAGCTAGATACCTCCAAATGAGGCCGCCTCCCCCGCATACCCCGGATCTCTGATTCTGATTCACGCCTCCAAGACAGTGACAGGAGAGGCATGACCACAGCCGCAAGACCAGCTTTACAATAAGCTACTTGTGACGGCGCATGGGTGGTCAGCCCCAGAAAACGGTCTCAAGCCCATCCTTTGACGCCTATTTAGCAGCTCCAATGATACCCATGACCCCAAGCCATGGCTAATAACCTAGCGCCAAGGCCAAGACTCAAGGGCCTTTTCAGAACCAACCTCTCAGGTGATCCTCGTCATCTTAAGTCTCATGGGCATTTCAGCTCCCGCCCGCTGTGGAGAGCGTCTCCCCAACAAGAGCTTCTTTCAGCCTTACCATGCGCCTGGAATAAGCATTTATATGCAGGGGGAAGCAAAATCCTACGTTGACTGCAGCCACAGTCTAGACGATCCAACCACCTAGGGGCGGTAGGGCTTACATTACGACAAGTATTTTCACTATAGCCAGCCTTGGCTTGACCCCTTGCGCTTCTTAGGAGCCCAAAATTATTGATCTTCTCAGGCAGGCTTTGGAGCCTTGGCTTGGGTAGGCCAGGCGCGTTATTGGCAGAGGCAACATGCGTTGAGGCGATGAGAATTGATGGCTGCTTAGTTGCATGTTCTAGGCTTTGCGGGTTTAATGCGCGGGCTACCTGTATTCAAAGTGAAACATGTAAGGCGCAGTGTAAGCAGCCAGTAAGTGCTACTATGCCGCGAAGGAATCGCTTAGTATTAGCTGCTATCATCATTTCCAACTAGCGAATAATAATGGAGGGAGCAAGTGATATTTCCATGCTGCTCTTTGTAGAAGGGTAGAGTAAGATGGACTATTCTTTTTCATCTACATATCATACACGCATAAAACATACATGGCGATAGCATCACCGCTGCGCTTCGTCTAGACCCCGTCTCAACCAGTCCGGAACAAACGCCTTGACCTTTACGCCGCTCTTATTATCCTCCTCTCCCCATTCCAGCTCAAACTCATCTCCATCCTTAAACGTCGCCGCGGCCTGCTCGCCCGGCAGCACCAAGTCCGTCATGATCTCCAGGCGGCACAGCCCCAGGCCAATGTTGCCCACTCCCCGAAGCCACTTGCCGGCGCTGCGGCCCCTTTTGCCGGACCGCCCGATGCTGGTCTCGACGGGAATCATGTCTGCCGTCAGGGCCTCGGGGGAGCCGCTCTCGGGATCGTAGTGGAGGCTCGTGGGCGCCGCCTTGTCCTTTTCGTAGATGACGCACGGGAGGATGCGCTTGCGGACGACGCCGCGGTGCTTGGTGCGGATGGTCAGCTCTTGGCCTACGTAGCAGCCTTTGTGGAAGTCGATGCCGTCCATGTGCTCCATGTTGCTCTCGAGCGGTAGGGCTTGCTCCCGTAGGATCTCGTCCTGGCCTTCTGCCACGCCGTGTAGGTAGCGACGGATCGTGTAGGCGTCTTCGCTGGCCTGATTGATGTCGACTTCGGGGGGCTTCTGGCCTGCGAGCTGGATGATTCTGTATCCCAGACCTGGCGCTCGGGGGTCTTCAAAGACAATCCTCGATTTGTCTGATGCAATGTCGAGCTTCCCGGTATCGTTCCATGCATGCCATACGCCTATTTCTCCTGAATCTATCGGCCGGAGAGCTATCTTAGCCCTGAGCTTGTATCGCTTGATATACTTGGTCAACGCATTAATCTGCGCTGAATCCACCTCGATCAAGAAGCCATTCTCCTCTTGCGTCGCGCCTCGAACCGGATAGATGAAAACATCATGGAGCACCCTCCCCGTGGCATTCAAAAATCCCGTATAAAAGGCATCGGTTCGAGGCTCGCCCTTGTTCGAGACCACGTTGGCCGTGATGATGCCCTGCAGAAACTTGGCCGCGTCGGGACCAGATACCGAGAGCAGCTGCCTCGAGGACAGGGCAGCCAGGCCTGAGGACGGTGGTCGAGCCGGCGTGGCTATCGAGCTTGCGAATCGGCGGCGTTGCTGCTTGCAGTTGCGGCAGACGAAATTGGGAGAGAAGTCGCTGAGTAACGAACGCCTCGCGAGGCTTCGCATCATTGGTATCGGGGCCATCGGCGGGTATGTTTATGCTCGACACCTTTGTATGTATGCCTAAAGAATGATGTTCAATATCATGGAGCCCCGATGACCTATGAAAGTGGATGAGCAAAGAAGAGAGGGAGGAAAGAAAAGCTAAGAAGAGCTCTGGCAGCTGATGACGCAGTGAAGGTGGGAAGACCGGAGACCGAAACCGCCTGAAGCCGAAAAATCAGGTAGCTGTGATCGGGTGGTGGGGAACGTGGAGCGGTGGGGAAATCCGGGCCCTTGGACCGAGCACAGCCGATCGACGTGGTTTTACTTTCCACTTACACAAAAAATTGACAAAAGATACTTATATGATGGATATCGATTGAAAGAAAAATTGATAAAATTGATAGATCGTTTACAAATTGAAGCCTGAGACTTGAGCCAGCGGCCCAGTGTTGGATAAGAAGTATTACAAGCTTTTGTGGTTCAACAAAGGGAAGCGCATGAGCTTTGGTAACAATTCACGACCTCAGTCCCTTCAAACTTGATGCTGGATATTTAACATACACCTATAATACACATTATCTATATAGATTACTCCCCATTGCCATCGGTTTCATGAGAATACCTCAAAGGCCGAGGGCCACACATGGCCTCGGAAGCCGTCGTGATTTCTTGCGCCTCCAATATGCTCAAGTAGACATCTAATTATGCAGTCAGCAAGCTGAAATATCACGGTATATGAGGAGATTCCCCTGGCCATATACATACTAGCCATCTTCCACCTGGTAGCAATATCTTGCAATAGGTCCTTAAAGAGCGATATACGCCCAGTTGCAACGCTGTCAGGGGCTCCTTGTCCCATTCTAATCAGGAACAATGCTGCCTGGTATGCTACATGGGCTAAAAATGGAGTAGCGACCAGTACGGAAGTGGTGTCTACCATCTGATCTCGAAACCCTTGACACGTTGTAGCAATGTAGTCCAGAGATGATAGAGTCTCCTCCCAGGTGTCTGTCGCCGAGACAATATTAGGTACATCGCTCATGTTATTGCTGTTTACTCGCCATTGATACTCTTGGAGAAGAAATATAGTACTACCATAGGTCATCAGAAGTCAGTGCACCTTGCACACATAGCTCGATACTGGATCCACCGCTTACCTAGAGCAAATAGACAGTTGGGGACAGAAGCCAGCGCATATCCTCAGCTCTCTGGCATCGGCTTCGGCATTTGAAACGGTTATTAATGCAAATAATGTTCGTCTCAGTTGAGCCATCTGTTGGCTTCTCTCGATTGCGCTCTGTTGGTTATCCGGGCTCACAAGGTCCAGAGCCTGGCTGAGCATATAGGTAGCCTGCCCGAATCGGGAAAACATGCCCATTTCGAGAGTAAACGCTTGGGATATAGTGTAAAAGTCGCTCGCTTTAAGCGTCTGATGTTCAGTTAGATCGGATTATACGTAAAAGGCCGATAGGAAGGAGGGCATCCTACGCCGTCATCCCACAACTTGTCATCAACCGGAAGCAAGTCGTCGAACGTTGGGGTCTTGGTTGCGAGCGACCTGCTAGGTTTACAGATGTTCAAGAACCTTGTAAATTATACTCACATAAATCATCGAATGTTCCGTATGTTAGATGCAATGTAGTTGAACTCACCGATCTAAGAATAGAATGACCCACCACGCACGTCTTCGTTCCTCGACTTCGGACAGCGTGCGAGAATTTCCATAGCCACTAGATGTATCGTCGTCTCTCAGCTGATCGACACCAATTGCTGTGGCATACCGCGCGCAAGAACCAACAGTTAGATACGCCGCAGGATATATAGCTTGCCCAAGCTCGTAAAGCGCAATCAAGATGCCGGCTTGGAGAACTCGCAGTGAAAAGACACCAGAGGCCTCCATCTCAAAGTGTAATCTCTTGGCATTGTGGTACAAAGTTCTGGCGTCAAGCGTGCCCGTGGCGGAGCTCAGATCGGGCTCGCAACAAAGCTGCATGCATATGATGAGCAGACTGAGTTCGCTTCGGCGCTGTGATAGAGGATTCAATAAATGCGCAAAGAAACCCCTTTTCGAGATGACTGGCATCCACCAGTGAATCGAGTCGAAGAAATTATAGGCGATGCTCCGGATGCGAGAAGAATCATTTTGGAAGGGCGATAGCTTTGCCGGAATCGAGAGATGAATCTGGGGCAACTCGAGCTGTGTTTGCTGAAAGATGTGTGGTGCAATGAAGTATAATGCAGTAGCCGAAGGGGTGTTCTCTGAGGCTGCAGGGGATTCAAGGCTCACAAAGGGAGTATTTGAATGAGAGCTTTGGCCATCAAGTCGACTGTCCGAACGGGAAACATGTACACTGGAGCTTGACACATTGTTTGGTGTAGCGATAGCGGCTAACCGGCTCTCGGATCGAGTCTGTATCGGTCTCCGACGAGTCTGGCGACTCTGACGACGTGAAAGATAGACGCATTCGACCCCCTTTCTAGAACACAGCTCACAGCTAGGCAACACGCGGTCACATCGCCGTTTGCCTTTTCTACAGGGCTCGCATGCAAGCTGAGAATAACTCACCGGCCCTTCACCCCCGGATGGAGATGCCATGCTATGAGGCGGCTACTCTGTATCATCTCCCCGTTAGACCAGCCGTATAAAATGCGGATAAGTGTCCTTCGGATTGCCGCCGGCGTCATTGCGGGACTCACATGCAGAGGGATTATTAAATGTACACACGGCCAGGATGTCTGGTTTCACAGTAGTAGCTGAATCCTGCGGTGGTCAGCTGCGTTGCACTGGTTTCCTTGTCTGACGACTTGCAACCGAAGTGTATGTAGGATGGAGCAATTTGCGGAAGTGCGGAAGTTCCGCATGGGCTCGCAACGGATGGTTGTTTTTACATTACACATGGGGGGCTTCGGCTTCTTTGTGGTAGTGCGCCATAAATGTCAGCACTACTTGACGCAGGTCTCCAAGAACGGACCGAGCCAAACTCTCGATATACCTACGATGGCATCTCTGTAAAAAATTCTCTGCACATAATATTTAAGGTTAAACCATCTAGCATGGCGCTAGCATACGGCTATGCATGGCACAATGTGGCGCTCGAGCATCATAGATTGGGAGTTTGGTATGGGTATCATGATCTGCAGACCGAATTTATTTTGATATTTGGACGGACTGTAAATTGAAAACATATACATCAATGCTAAAATACACTACTAAACAGCCGGTGCAGTGGCCCGTTTACGACTTCGCTTCCAGGAGACTAGCATAAACAGCATCGTCAGGATCATTCCAAATCCTGCCAAACTCACGGCAAAGTACAACGCTGCTCTGTATCCTCGAAGTAAATCGCTCCCATTACGGTTAAGATGAGTCTCAATGGTGCCTGCGAAACCCAGGCTTATGGAGATGGAATAGTTGATCGCTGTCGCAATGAGCGACGCCGCAAGACCTTGGTGCTCGGGCGGCATCGAGTTACTCAACAGGATGCATCCTGCGGGAAACGACATGTCCCTAATATTCAAGTCAGCATCTTCCCCTTCATGTCATATTCAAATTTTTCTGTGGGAGAATCAAGATGCTTTTGCTTCACATACATTCCAAAAGGGTAGATGACCGTCATTACAAAAGTCTGCGCCCAGTATGTCTGGTGAATTGGAAGTGTGGCTATCAGCGTGCTGCCAATGAGGAATCCGCTCATTGCCATGAACATGATTACGCTCGGTGACACACGGCTGAGCAAGTATGCTGTCGTGAGGCCTGCGACAACGCCCATTATAGGCGCTGGGGACCATTTCGCAATTGCCAGGAGTGGTGAGTCGCCTTTGATGATTTCCATAATCTGGTAGTAGTAGTAAAGTCCAATACCAAAGCTTGCCCATCCTGCCACAATGCAGCTCAGAGTCCAGCCAAGTTCGCCCGTAAAGATAGATGTCGGCAGCAGTGGGAATTTCGCCTTGCGCTCCACGAATGCAAATACACCGAGGGATAGAAATCCGACGATGAGAAGGACGTAGGTGTATGGATTTTGCCATCCGACAATCGGCGCCTGGTTCCACGAGAAATTGATGAACAAAAGGCCGGTGATGCCAAAGAAGGCGCCTGGGAGATCAATCTTGTCAATAAAGTCAAACCTGCGTCCTGTTTTCAAGTCGCTGCCCGATCCTGCCGGGGGATCCAGCGATCTTGGGATCACAAAAAAGCCTGCGACGGCCAGGGCCCAGCAGTAGATTGCCATGATCCAGTAAGACCAAGGCCACCATGCCCGCTCTGCCAACAGCGCGATAAACACACCCGCGACATTGAATCCAGCCGGCGCAGTCGCTCCAAAGAGACTAAAGACCAATTCTTTCCGCCGGCCTGGAGGATACGTTCGCCCCAAGATCGCAACCGCATTCGGCAGCACCAATCCAGTTCCGATACCCTGAAATGCGCGGCAAACGATGAAAAACGTCGGTGTTGTCGCATAGACGCCAAACCCGCCCAGCAGGAGCCATAACCCGTACCAGATGAAGCCGATGATGAATAGCCGCCTGTGTCCGTACAAGTCGCCGAGCCGGCCAGCGACGAGAATGAGCGTTCCGCTGGTCAGAGAATAAGCGGCCGCAAACCAGCTCAGCTGTCCATCCTGTACGTTCTCCCAGCTTTTGCCGATGATGTGCGCAGGAATGACGGAGATGGCGAGGCCCGTCTGCGCGAGGAACTGCGCCATGGAGACGACAAAGAGAAAACACGCCTCGTGGAGCAGCGACTCGGGCCTCTTGGCCATCGAGTGCGTCGAGATGGCGCGCGAAATCCGGCGGTTGATTGCATTTTCGTCGTTGTCGTCAGCTTCGACCTCGAATTCATGCTCATTTTCGTCCCGGGTGCTGCCTCTGTCCGACCCATGCGTCGACGTCAACGGAGGGCTCTCCAGCGCTATGTCTTCTTCCTTGTTGGCGAGCGCCATCTTCGTGTTCCGCGCTGCTGGCGCTCGGCGGAGTGAAGATGACGGACTGCAAGGTAGGCAGCCGTCTGGCCAGGCATGGCGGTTAATCAGCGAGGGCCCCCTGGCTCTTATACGAAAACTCTCGGGTGATGTATAAGAAATTGGTAACGCCTGGCCGGGTCCGTTTTCTGGTGGAGCGGACCGCTGGCCCTACGGCCGGTAGTTGGCCAGGACAAAGGTCGCCATGCGGCAAAACGGGTTAATTTTGGCAGCACCTCCGCCTGTGATTTGACAATGGGAGTTCATCTGGTGCTAGCATCTAGTTCAAGTCGGGTCTGGTCAGGGCCACCGCATGAAACGCAGCTCGGGTCGGGCTAGCCATGTACCGACACCTTTTCGGCGCCTTGTACCTGCGCAAAGCACATCAATGATATCGCTGGTGAATACTAGTATGGAATACATTAATCCCACCTCGTGTATCTATCTATCTGATTAATGAGGCTTACCATGTGGCCCATGAGATAGGCTATTCGCTGGCAAATATAAACGCTCTGCCCCCGCACTTTGTCTCCTCAGCCGAATCTGGCATGCCCCAGCGAGCACGTGTATCCGGCGGGTATCCGAACTGCTTTCTGCCAGTAGGCGTGGGGGCTGCGGACTCTTGATGCGGACACTTACTGCGGGTGCGGCGTCCGCAGCGGACGTTTTCCATACCCAACGCGGCTTCAACTCGTGTTAGTGACGCTCGGCTACGTCCAACATCGCCAATTCAATGGTTACTAGGTATGAGTCTTCAAGATTATTAATATTTTAGTGGCGATACAGTAGAATGCATAAGAGCGTAAGGACCAAAGTAGACAAAGCCCCTTTCGTATATGCCAGCTTGCAGCTCTACAAGGCTTAATCAGATCTTATGAAGCTGCAACTAAAAGCTCTCAGAATAGAATACAGCCATCCAGAAATACTATCTTGGCCCTTGATTCTCCTAATATCTTGCGTATCATATACCAAGAATAGTAAAGTACTATCAACTTAACACTTCGAAAGGCGGGGACCCCTGGGACTCACATGTGAGACTTCAAGGAACTTTTCGCTCTGTCCCACCAGAACGCTGCTTGTTCACTAGATCTTGTCAGCTTCGAGCCTGTTTGGTAGCTTGGCCAATAGTCACAATAGCTAGTTTCGTAGGGTTGCGGGCTTATACTCGGAAGAGTTGTACTTCCGCGAGCTAGGCGGCCGATCATCTTGGGTGTTCAGGAATATGCTTAAATTGAATACGCGGCGAGAGAAGCTCTAGTCGGCGTATGAAACTATAAGAACAGAACTCGACAAGTTTCCCTGTCAGTCCTGCGTCAGGCTGAGCTGTTGCGCAGCTTCCCCATGAGTTGTATCAACATCCAGACAAAGACTTAGTGTGCGCCTGGAGCTGGCACCCTTTACAGCCCTCTTTCTGATAAATTCTCATTGATTTCTTTTCATCGAATTTCATCTCCTAGGCTCTTGACATTGGCAGACTTGCATGTCAACGTCGGTCACAACGAGTATCGCAACTCTTGATCAGCCAGCCGTAGCCATGGACATGCCAGCAGCAAACTCAGTTCTCTTCTGCCCGTTGAAAATCGGCAACGGGACCATCTCCAGCCGAATCGTCATGGCACCTATGGCGAGACTTCGAAATTGCAGGCAGCATGTTCCCTTAGTCCCCATGGTGCCGACGTACTTCGCTGAACGCGCCAGCTATCCAGGGACACTTGTCATTTCCGAAATGACCATCATATCGCCCCGCGCCTGTGGCTACCCGCATCCTCCAGGGATCTGGACGAATGACCAAGTTGCGGCCTGGAAAGCGGTCACGGCCGCCGTTCATGCCCAGGGGTCACGAATTTACCTTCAGATCGGAGCTCTTGGCCGCGTTGCACAACCTCTTGTGCTTGAGGAAGACGTGGCTCTGTTTGGTTTGCAAAAAGACTCAATTCGATTTGCCGCTCCAAGCTCGATACCTTGCGGTAAAGGGCATCCTATTCCGGCGGAGTTAACAACGGAAGAAATCAAAGCCCTAATTAAAGACTTTGCCGCAGCGGCACGGCGAGCCGTGAATGATGCTGGTTTTGATGGCGTGGAGGTCCACGGCGGCTATGGTTATCTAATCGACCAGTTTATCCAAGATACAGCCAACCAGAGGACAGACTCCTACGGCGGCAGCGTTGAGAACCGCTCTCGTTTTGCAGTCGAGGTTATGCGCGCGGTTGTCGATGCTGTAGGCGCGGAGCGGTCCGCAATTCGTCTCTCGCCGTGGTGCTCCTGGCAGGGCATGGGGATGAGCGATCCGATGCCGCAGTTTATCTATCTCATCCAGCAGCTCCGTAACCTGAAACTTTCATACCTGCATCTGGTTGAGCCTTATGCAGCTTGTTACACCAACGATACAGTCGCTTTATACGGCGATAGTAACGATATTCTCATTCGCATGTGGGGGAAGACGAGCCCAGTCATCTTGAATCATGGATTTGATGCATTGAGTGCCTGCAGGGCCATTGAGAAATACATCGGCGTAGTAGACATTGCTGTGGCCATGGGCGCGCCTTTTATCTCTAATCCTGATCTAATCTATCGCATCAAGAAGGGCATCCCACTTATGCCTCCGGACCGGTCCAAGTCGCACTCAGTGATGGACCCGGACGGGTATATTACATATCCCTTTTCAGATGAGTGGGAGGCCGAACAAGAGGCCCGGCGACGCGGAACAAGGCTTAGCATAAATCAGTCGTCGACGATGGAGTTTTTCTCATTGTGGTAGAACTAGAGATGTTGGAGAGTAGCGATGTGGTAACCAACACAGAAGAGTTACAAATCTTTGTCATCTTGTCTGTCAGAGCGATTATAACGCTACATCAACGGCAGTTGAAGCAAGCGTTTAGTGCAGTGTGAAATGCCGAGTATTTTATCTTAAGTAAGGCGGTATCAGTCATCAGTATGCATGTAGGAACTCGCGAATCTTGATCTACAGAGTCAAGGCCAAGGCGGATACGCCACCTGGCCAAGACGGGAGATCGCTTTGCCCAGTCGCAGTCCTAATATCCGCAACAACGGACGTCCTTTTTTTGTTTTAGGAAATCGGGTAGGATTCACAGAAAGGCATTGGCCAGAACAATCTATGGCTTTAGACTGCTGAAACTGTCGTGTCTGGGACCTACCTAGGCATAGTATAGTCAGTATCCACAGATGCCGAGGGAAAAACAAGCGCGTCGGTGCCTTTCGCGTACAGTATGACTCTAGCCAGCTTCAGCTCTTCACACGATGAGAGACTCAAGCCTACGGACCGAGGATGATCCGTGAGCGACCGGCAGTCGCTTGCACTGCAGGAGAGGAAGCAATTGCCGTCCTGAAAATCGCCGCTGTGCAGTGGTAGCTCGAACGCTAAAACTGGTTCTCCAATAGTTCGGATGATGCCGCCTGCTTTCATTTGTTAATCTTATTAATGAGAGACGAAGGAAGGAAAATTCCCAATCGGGAATCGAGGACTGTCTAACAGTTGGCTAGTATCCAGACCATTCAAACCACACAAGCCCAAAACAGCCATGCCTATCAGCCTCAAACTTACTTAGTAATCCGCACGAATACGCGAGAAATCTAAGAAGCACCGCTCATCTGTGACCCAACCCAGCTGTTGCTCCGCAAAACCCGCAACTTGAAGAGCTGCGAAATAAATGTCGCGAGATAGCGGTCAGTTGAGGCTTAACAACTGAAATGACTGAAACGAGAGGGCGGTGTCTGAAGTTGCTCCGATTATTAGTGGCTCTGGTTCCTGGGTCCAGGCCGATAATGCGATACGAGGAGATAGAGCTAGCAGTAAGCGAGCCACAGCTAATCTCAAGTCACGTGTCGGTCCAGGAGAGCCGCACGTTGTGGCGAAGCGCCACCATAGAATCTAGACCTATTGAAACCTCAAATCCAAAGCAATGCTGGCGACCGAGTGACTTCGCGATGATGCAGGCACAGACGCAAGTCTCCCGTCACCGCTTCTAGACCTTCATTTCGTCCAGTCCTCGCTTCCCCAGGTTATCAAACTCCGCAGCCCCGTAAGCTGGGGAAATAGCCTTTGCGGGGGACGACCGGCCGGAAGGTGGTAGTATTTTGCAGCTGCATCGTGATCATTTGCAGGCTCGTGGTGTATTCTCGACACATCCGGTTCCGGGTTATGGGGCATCATCTGGCAACCTCCAACTTGTTCCGATGTGGCGCTGAATAGTGCGGGGAGAGGTCTCCCTGACACGTCCCAGCTCGCCTCCGTGCAATTCCGTCACGACGCACGAATACGGCCTATTCGCATGTCACCGGCTTATTAGCTGTCACTTGCTGCTCCATCAGGGTGAGCGCTTGGCAAGATCTCGTGGGAAATGTCGGAGGCAAACCTAGCTGCAGAGGCTGAGAAATGGAGCAGAATGTCCAGCACATTGGAAAAGTGGCGCCCTAGCGCGTGCCTGGCGTGGAGAAGCCAAGGAAGCCCCGGGAGAACCTGCACAGAAGGGAAAATCGCCGCCGCTGAACTTGACTCGGAGGGTTTTGGGCAGAGGCTTTTGAGGCTTTTGGAGGCTTGGGCCAGCCATTGAGTGGCCAGATCTGGCCAAGGCTTTCATCAGCGGGATCTACGGCATTGGCCCAAAGCAGGCTGTGGCACACGTCAAAGTTTTCCAAGACCAGGCACGATGCGCCAAATGGAAGAATCGAAGGATGGCTTGTGTAAAGGTTTGTTCATGAGAAAGGCAATTGACGCTGTGCGCAGGGCCTGGGCTGGACCCGAGCGAACCTGTATCCATCGCATTATCCATGGCCATTGCTACGTCGACAGTGCTCAATGCGCGAGGCGGAGTCGCATCTGAAGATAAGGCAGGGGCTGGACCACGTCGCTGAGCTGATCTCGAGTCAGGGCTGATCCATCCTGTCTCCAGGCTCCCACTTCCATGATTGCGATGCGACGCGCACAGGGCCCACCGGCGATAACCCAAATGCCAAGCTAGCATCTCAAGCGGCATCTCGCTCTCGTTATCTAAGGCGGTCCACCGGTGCGCATACCGGTGTTCCGACAGTCTCATGCGCAGCATGTAATCCGGAGGCGAAAAGCTTCCCCAAAGTCCAAAGGCGAATCTCGATATTCCAACTGTTTCGTCACGACTCAGCGCGCGCGGGCGGATGGTCCCCAAAAGACATGACAAGATTACCCCATTGATACCCCAAGACCGACCATCCGCGTGCCATTGGATGGAGAAGATGGAGCTAGCAGGTTCTTGGGGATGACGGGCCAATCAGCGCGAGGCTCCATCTACGCGTTATCAAAAACGGGCTTGTCTGGGGGAACGACCCCAGTTTTCTCCAGTTCCCCGAGTCCAGCATGCCACCGTTCTCGGGGGCCCCGACTGTCTATCTACCATGGAGATGATGTCTAGTTGAGTTTATCAGGAACTCGCCCCCGGTCGCCAGTGCCGGGAGTCTGACGCCTTTACGCATTTGACTGCCGGTCCCGGTTCCGGTCCTCTAAGTCAAAAAGCTCCTGCATTCCCGGCTCTTGGCCCGGATTTCCTTTCATTCTTTCCGTTCCAAGTTGTCAACCACGCCAACGACAACCAACCATGGAAGACTACAGTGACCCCAAATCTGACCTCTCCCCAGAGGCTGGCCACCTCGCAACACTGGGTCATAAGCAGGAGCTCAAGCGAAACTTTTCCTTGATTTCTATGCTGGGTCTTGCCTTCGCCATTCTCAACACATGGACTGCCTTGGCCGCCTCACTAACACTGGCCCTCCCCTCCGGAGGCTCAAGTGCCGTCATCTGGGGTCTGATCGTGGCCGGTATCTGTAACATGACCCAGGCCGTTTCCCTGGCCGAGTTTCTTTCCGCGTATCCCACAGCCGGTGGCCAGTACCACTGGGCCGCCATCGTTTCATGGCCGAAATGGAGCCGCGGCATCAGCTACGCGACAGGATGGATTAATGTGTCGGGTTGGGTCGCCCTCAGCGCTACCGGTGGTTTGCTGGGCAGCACGTTCATCATGAACATCATTCAGCTCATGCACCCGGATTTCGAGCCCAAGGCGTGGCATCAGTTTTTGATCTACATTGCGTTTGCCCTTGCTGCCTTGGCCATCAACGCTTTCGCCACTCGACTTCTTCCTCTCTTCACCAAAGCCGCCTTTTTCTGGTCTGTCGGTGGCTTCGTCATTATCAGCATTACAGTTTTGGCGTGCGCTTCGCCCGACTACCAATCCGGCGAATTCGTCTACGGCAACTTCATCAACGAGGTTGGCTGGCCAGACGGTCTGGCTTGGCTGCTCGGTTTGCTCCAGGGCGCGTTTGCTTTGACAGGTACGTCAACAGAAATCACAACAATTCTTGACTTGACGACCATTGTAGCAATTGCTAACTCTTTTTTTTTTTTAAACAATAGGCTTCGACGGAGTTGCGCACATGATTGAAGAGATTCCGAACCCGCAAAAGGAGGGCCCCAAGATTATGATGTATTGCATCGGCATCGGCATGTTCACCGGTTTCATCTTCCTCAGTTGCCTCATGTTTGTCATCTCCAACGTCAATGATGTCATTGAAGCTGCTGAGGGCCCGCTACTTCATATCTTCATGGACGCGACCAAGAGCAGGGCCGGCAGTATTTGCCTGCTCATGTTCCCCCTCGTGTGCATGCTTTTCACCACAGTGGCCCTGGTCGCCACCAGCACCCGAATGAGCTACGCTTTTGCCCGAGACCGAGGAATGCCTTTCAGCCACATCTTCTCCCGGGTTCACCCTACTCTTGACGTCCCCATCAACGCACTACTTTGGACAACCGCCTGGGTTATTATTTTCGGCTGCATTTTCCTGGGCTCTTCCAGCACCTTCAACGCCATCACTGCCGCGTCCGTTGTTGCGCTTGGTGTTACCTATGCCATCCCACCGCTCATCAACGTCCTAAGAGGCCGCAAGATGCTTCCCGAGAGCCGCCCTTTCAAGCTTCCCAACTGGCTTGGCTGGATCTGCAACATTGTTGGAATCTGCTGGGCCATCCTTACCACCGTCCTGTTTGTGTTCCCTCCTGTGATCCCCGTCACAGGATCCAACATGAACTATGCTATCGTCGCCTTTGGCGTCATTCTTCTGATTTCCGGCGGAACCTGGATCTTTGATGGTCGCAAGAACTACAAGGGCCCTATCGTGGAGATTCAGGGCGTGTTTGAAGGCACTGTTGACGGCATGGACCCAGCAGGCCATTCTGATAGCGTTCGTGAAGAACACGCGGAAAAGAATTGATAGATTCATTTTTCGGATACAGGGTTATATAGTGTTTTATTTTGCGTTGCGTGCACAATGATATCAAAGTTTTTATTCTGTTCAAAGTACAATTGTCTTATGCTTGATGTGAATCAATCTTGATGCATTACCAATGACCTCCATTACTGCCACCTTACATAGGGTTAAACGACCTACTCAGCGTCGCTCGTGACCTCGATGTATGTGCTAATAAACTTGGTATCAATGAACTCCCACGCCGTCCCGTTCTTCTCTTCTGCCGGCCCGAGCTTCAAACTATCGGACTCCGAAAGGACTACCGGCAGCAGTCGATCACCCTTCCGGGCTAAAAGAGTATACCCGCCATTGATTTGCCTATCCGGCATGAAATGTTCGTCGATCTTATGGTGAGACGCATTTGCGAGAAGCTTTGCTTTACTACTGCACCAATCATTGCACCCGTCGTGTCCGAGGTATGTGCCAGAGGCGGTATTGCGAAAGCCGTACCATCCACGGTTCTTCAAGCAGTGCCAGAGCCAGCCTCCTCTGATCTCATCGCTCCCCACCAGTCTTAACTTGCCATCTACGAGAATAAGATAACGGTGTGGCGCTTGCTTTGTGCGGATCATGCATGGTCTGTTGGCTATGGGATGGTGCTCCATGTGTGAACATGTACTGAAGAGACTATCGGCGTCTTTCTCATTGGTAAACGTGGCATCTGCTCTAGTAGAAGAAGTGGGCGTAGGACAGCCATCTGTTGAGCTGGTTGAGAATTCAAAATCGGGTTGGCCCATTACTGGAGAGTCTCTTCTAAAACTGAACATGAGGAAATAATAAACGAATGTTGATAGATACGGCGAGGCGAATTGGGAATTAAGGTATTGTACCTGTGTGATGTATATTTGAGAGCAGAAAGTTACAAAATTGTGTTTCATGGTCACGAATTAATATATGCAATATGGCCGTTGGGAGGCCTACAATGTGGCTCATTGAGGCCGAGTGAATTCGTTTGGTGGCTGACGTTTGTGTGGCTGGCTACATGTGATTGGAATGAATTGCAATGCAAGGGAAAGGATACTGCATGTGAGATCAAATTGCTTCCTGTGCCTATGATCCACATCCATAAAAAATGATTTGGCGTTTGAGAGCAAGAGTGCTTCAGTAATAGATTCAATCTTCTTTGTTTTGAGGCGAGTTATTAATGGGACACCAAAGATAAGAATTTAAAGCTCGAGTCATGCAGCTTGACATTATCGACGGCGCTTTTTGACGTCTCCGTGTGGCGTGATAAGATAAGATATTGGAAGAGTCAGTGTGCTGAAAAGATTTCAAACGCGTTGTTACACAATAATGGTCTGATATCTTTGGAAAACCAACCAATAAGACAAAAATCTAATTGGACTTTTCATTTATGGCGCCTGTAGGGCAACTTACTCGATCCGCAACCAAGCATATAGGCCTATACCGAGACGCAAGGAGAAGTGCATGTACCCTAGATATTAGCATTTGAGACACCACCGTCAATCTTCCATCGCCACTCATTCGAGGACTTTTATGATTTATGCCCTGGAGAATTGGTGTTGGCCAGCGTGTTCGATTCTAGAGCATGCTCTTCCATCAAAATTGCATGCCGGCATTTACACGTATCAGCCGTATGTAAAACAATAGCGTTGGTGGTGGCGTCGCCTCATCCACAGCACTAGCAGCCCCACAATCGGATAGCGGGAAGATCCAGACTCACAAAACTTCAAGTCTTTTTACCTCCGAATATCGCTCTCAGGATCGAGGCCGTTTTGACATCTAAGATGACGCGCTTTCGCCCCTGCATAGACCTTCACGCTGGTCAGGTGAAGCAGATTGTGGGTGGGACTCTGGACAGCTCATCGACGGCCCTCCAGACAAACCATGTGTCCCAGCATTCGGCGGAATACTTTGCCCGGCTATACAGAGACAATGAGCTTGAGGGCGCTCATGTGATTATGCTGGGAGGAGGAAACGATGTCGCTGCGAAAGAGGCCTTGAAGGCATGGCCTGGTGGTCTGCAGGTGGGCGGTGGCATCAATGACAAGAATGCAAAGGAGTGGATTGATGCGGGAGCAGAAAAGGTAATATCACCACGATATGAGTTGTGCAGTCATAGTGTTGCGGGGCTGTATCGATTGTTTGATATGTTTGTTTATTCACAATTTGGATAACTAACTTGGATGCTTCACAATAGATTATCATCACATCGTACCTCTTTCCAGATGGCCACTTCAGCCAAGAGAGACTAGATGCCGTCTTGGGAGCTCTTGGCGGAGATAAGAGCAAGTTGGTGATTGATCTCAGCTGCCGCCGCCAAGGAGACAAGTGGTTCGTTGCCATGAACAAATGGCAGACACTGACAGATATGGAAATCAACCAAGGTTAGTCTATGCATCACCAATTACGGCAGCTTCACTTCTGTTTTTGGATCATGTGGCTCATTTTTCAAAATGCAGAATCAATACAGTCATTGGAGCCATACTGCTCAGAATTTTTAATCCACGCCGCAGACAACGAGGGGCTGCAAAGGGGAATAGACGAGCAGTTGGTCGAGCGCCTAGCAGGGTGGTGTTCTATTCCGGTCACATATGCCGGTGGAGGACGGCACTTGGAAGATTTGGAAACAGTCAAGAGACTTAGCCGGGGTAAAGTCGATCTCACGATAGGGAGTGCCTTGGACTGTTTCGGTGGGTCTGGTGTCAAGTTTGATGATTGCGTGCAGTGGAATAAGAGCCAGGGTGCCTGATGGACGGGCGGATGGGGAGATGGGTAAACGGATGAATGGGTGGATGGAAGGATGAGAGAAAACCATCATGTTTGTTGACATGAAAAAACAACATTTAAAGTTGACCCTACGCTAATGGCTTTGGTGCGTCGATGGAGTTTCAATATATTGCCATACAGAGCATGCCGTGTAACCAGAAATCCAGCGGCAGCAGTAGCTGCAAATTAAGTGCCTACTAAGCAGTTCGTATAAAAATAGAGTTTTATCACTTTGGAGCAAACAAAATTATCTACAGGGACTGCTGCTACTGTTGATTGAGCTCTTGGAAGATCCGAGTGGATCAAGGAGGTAAGTAATACGCACATACCTTACAAGCTGGGGGTGCAAGACATAACGTGCACAACTTTGATAAGGCCGGCCAGGGCAGGAAATTGATGGCTCAAGCTTCGTATTCACAAAGGCAGGCCCTTTTTCTCGGTAACCATGGCGTTGCCGTGTTTCACAACCGCCTGCAGGTAATGATGGTAATAAGACGGAGTAATAACACAAATAAAGGAGTAAGTAGCACGACTAGTAATCGCACGGGTCAATGCAAAAATGGGAGAGAGAAAAAAGTAAACAAAGGGAAAAGGGAAGAAGCGAAAGGAAACACCACAGCTACAGCACAGCTACAGCACAGAACCTTGTAATGGCTGCGCGCGAGCACTCGCTGCATGAACACCAGCCCCGGAAAAAGAAAGTAAAAAATTAGATGGATCAACAGACGAAGCAAGACCGAAAAAGAACAAAAGAACTGGAGCATGCATTGCCTTTATGCCAACAGCGGGAAAAGCAAAAAGCGACCAGAGTCAGGATGGACATTTATCGGAAACTGACCGCATGTCTGATGAGCCGATGACGACACCAGTCGCAGGGCACGCAGAAATGCTTTGCAGTTGCAGGGCCACTGCGCTCTAGCGTGGGATGCGAGTGAGAATAAACTCGCCATGCATCACGTAAAAAATGGGTGCATCATGCGGCGGCACCAGCCGAATCAGAAGCCTCAGACGAGCCCAGAAGTCTGCTGCCGCCTTATTGTTTGCATGCTGCCTCGTCTCAGACCCCTGCCGGCTGCCATGGCGACTCTCGCGGCGCTGAGCCCAAGGCCCCCAGCGGCGCCGCCCGAGGCTCAGAGCGTGCTAGCACCGGCCGCGAGGCTCTGTAGGCTCCCTTTTCCCCTGCTGCACGTCGCCTACAGGGCCTGTGGCGGGCCTGTAGCAAAGCACGATGCAGTGCATGCAACCCCTCCTCAGCTGTGATGTGCCCCCCGGGGAGCCCCCAAGGCTAGGCAAAATAGCGACGCGTTGCTACGACAACCCCTGGCTCACTGAGGGGCCGTGTTTTGTTTTGCGTTGGGCCAATCACGCTGCCCGACGGCGCTTCCCTTAAACACCCCCGACCTGCAAATGAATAGCCCCCCTTCTCTGCCCTCGTCAAGTTGTCATCGTTGAAATTCGATTCTGGGTGCCAGCGGCCGAGTCGAGTTCAGGGCTTTGACGCAACTTCTTCTTCTTCTACTTTTTTTTTCCTTTTTTCTTACCATCTCCAAGAGAACAGAGTCAACCGGGCGAACATTCTGACATCTCGCGCCCCCCCTTTCCCTTTCCTTTCCCCTCTCCTTATTCAATTCCAATCATTCGTTTTTCGAGGCTGCCGTATCGAAACTAGCCTCTTTTTTTTTATACTATATACGTTTTTTTGCGACAAAGAAGAGAGGAAAGAGAAGAAAAAACGACGCCGGCTAGTCGTTGCATTCCTCGCCCGCGTCACATCGCCCTTTGTACTGATCGAACTTGCGTGCCGATGTGTCCACGTCCTAGCCCGACCTGATTGCAAGGATTAACCAGCCCAGTTTCGATCGATATGTCATCTGAACCGGTGCGCCCAACACCACCCAATGTTGGTTCCGCCAGCACTTCGCAGCAGCTAACCTCTGCATTCTCTCTGCAGGTGCACCCATTGCGCATCACCAAGGGCAGCACGCCGCCAAACTCTTCACCCACGAAGACGCCCAACCTTCCCCAGCCCCGCCCCCTATCTGAAATCTCGCCCACCGAAAGGAGACGTAATTCTCCTAGCTGGAACCAAATGGCTCCTACCAAGGTTTGTGGAATGCTTAGCGACATTGCGCGTTTGTGGTGTCTCGGGCTGACAACGGTTTTTTTTTTTTTCGCCTTTCTAGAAGACGGCAGCGCTCAGCAATGATTCGTCTCCATTCCAGACTTCGCCCGCCGATTCGGTGACATCGCCGCGGGTCTTCTGGCAGAACCGAAATTCGGAAAACATGTACAGCAACGGCTCGCCTTCGTCTCACCGGCGCTCCTCGATCGAGCGTCTCCAGAAGGCTTCACGCGTCAAGAACAGCAACATTTTGGCGCTTGAGCAGAAGCAAGAATATGACCCGACTCGGCTTCCTCAGATCGAAAGACCCCTAGCCAAGGTCCAGCCCGGCGCATTCAACTTTTCTGGAGGCTCGTCTGGCCCTGATGGCGAAAAATCAGCATCCCCGATGAGCCCAACCAAATCAGACTATTCGGGTCCCAGCACGCCGAGGGGACCCAGCAAAGACCAGGCTTCGCCCACAAAATCATCGCTATCTCCTTCCAAATTCAAGAGCAGCTTCGACCATGAGACGGGCTTGTGGTCTGCGGACTCGTCCGCTCTGGACGGCCCTCCAAGCGGCCGACCTTCACATCGCCACACGAAGAGCGTAACATTCGATAATGCACCACCCCAGATCAACGAGTATGAAATGGCCACCCCGGATCTGTCTTCTATTGGAACGAACTCGCGCGAGGGTAGTTATGACTCGGAGGAGGAGGACGACGAAGATGACGAGGATCTTCTTTACGATCCCGCTCACATGGGTGGCCCAGATGATGAGAGCTTCGATGCATCTCTCGAGGATACAGACAAGACTCCAGTTGTGGGGCCGGATGACTGGGCTCGAGACAACTCTTTAGTTCACCATAGTGAAGGTGAAGATGATGATGGAAGTCTGATGCCCGAGGGCACTCGAGGAGCAATCAGTTCGGGGCGCCTATCCATGGGATCTGTTGGGTCCGTCGCAGAAAACCGCCCTCTCCCTCCACTCCCCGGTGCAGGTCACGTCAGGAGCCAGTCTGCCGGCTCTGTACCCTCATCCCCCGCCCTCTCACAGACTCCAGAGGGCTCCCACAGAAGCCTGCCCGTTCCACCGCCTACCTCTGCGACAAAATCCGATATTGAGAGCTTCATTAGCGGCAAAATGTCGCTTGAAGAAAGACTCAAGCTCATGATGTTGTCCGACGATAACAGTGGTAAGACTGCTGCCGAGCAACAGCGCGAGCGACGTCTTCGTCGCAGCTCTGGCCGCAGTCGAAGCTCATTATCCCATGACAACTCGCTCGCCATAGTCGACACTCAAGATGACCAAATCGGCGACGACGCTCACAATGATGACGATGAGCTAGAGGCGCATGATGCTCATGAGACTCGTGAGGAGGAGGAAAATATTGGGGATATGTCCGGAATTGGAGATTATCAGCTGCCACAGCCCATTTCCAGAGAGTCCATTATGAAGCGTGTTAACGGTAATAAGGCATTGGCGGATCCCGAAGCAGACTATAACTTTTCCTCGCCGCCTGCTAGTCCTCTTCGAGACCAACACTTTCCTCTTGACCCTGACGTCCCCATTCCATCAACTGAAGATTCATTGATGGACGAAGAAGACGATGACGATAGGAGTTATGACGACGAAGATGATTATGACGACGAAGATCCGGCGGAGAGCAGTGTGATTATCCATCGGGTCATTCATGAAGACTCCACCGGATTCGATATGTACGACTCCGATTACGACGATGAATATGATGATGAGCTTGACGGTTCTCACTTCCAATCGGATGACGATCTAGAAGGCTCCCACTCTCACTATGGCGGCGAGGGGGATAGCGAGCACACAGAAGATGGTCTTGGCTATAGAGATAATTCTATCCAAGAAGACATTACTCTTGAAGTCCCTGCCAAAGAGCCGGCCGAGGAGCCTGCCGAGGAACCTGCCGAGGAATCTGCCAAGGAATCTGCCAAGGAATCTGCCAAGGAACCTACCAAGGAACCTGCAAAAGAAGTTGTCAAAGAACTTTCACCTCTGGACCATGAGAACGAGGCCGAAGAGGCGCTGACTCCACGAGCCATCTCGCCATTAGACTCCATCGACCAAAGCAGTGCTGACGCTGAGTCTAGTATTGTTAGCGAGTTTGCGGGGTCGGTGGTTTCTGAACTGGAATCGGATTTCACTTATGACACAGGGCTGGATCCTAACCACGACGTCTCAGAGGAGCTAGATGATGAGTCGCCAAGAGTATCAACTGATATTCCCCAAATTAAAACGCCGGAAAAGTTGATCCCGAAGCCAGATTATGACGGTGCCGGTTGGGGTGATGATTCGTTCAAGTCATACGACGACGATAGATCGACAACTCCCGACTCTGTCATCCACAATCCTGTATCCGAAGATGAAGAAGAACATACAATCATTGAGAAAGAATCTCCCGAGATTCCCGAACGGCTCGCAACGATCAAAGCCTCCGGCTCCAAGTTGAAGACAAGAATCTCCAACACGCCTTCCGACATTGCAGCCATGCGAGAAGCTCGCAGGCACGTTAGCGGCGAAATACCAAGTGTTCCATCAATTCCGAACAAGCACCGTGGGCTTGCGCCGCGAGATGGCAAAGACCTTGAGCTGAGCAGTGACAGTTTCCTGGCGCGACACCCAAGTTTTAAGAATCGGAGTCTCACACTAGATCTGGATATGGGCCTTAGCTTGGATAAAGATTTTGAACGAGTTATCGAGACGCAAAAGGTAGCTTTCAGTCGCCCACTTCCCTTTACACTGCAGATTACCTCCACCAATCACCACCACCCTTCGCCTCGACAAGTGTCAGGGGAGCAACTCACTTCACTAGGTACAAGTCAACTAGATGCTAATATTACACCTCCAACTCAGCGCGGATATCTGATGCGACAAAACACCAAACTCGTGACTGCCAGCGATAAGGATGCGGAGGATTCTTGGAGGACAAAATCAGCCAGTAATTCGCCCATCAAAGCCGCGAATCGGCCGCAGTCATGGACTGTCGAACCTTGGAACAGCCAAACTCGTCGCAGTATTCGAAAGGGACAGCCGGTCTTAAGTCCCGTACCGCCCCTGCCGGGTCAGGAGAGCAACGCTACCGCTCTCAACAAGGTTGTTGAAGAGGACTACAACGTTGATGTGGCCAGCCCAGAGTCGGGTGAGAGGGGTCGTCTCTTTGTCAAGGTCGTTGGTGTGAAGGACCTTGAGCTTCCCATTCCGAAGAGTAAGCAGCGGCGCATCATTCCCCCTCACTTATGTCGAGTATGCAAAGATATCTAACAAATACCCATTAGACGAGCGAAGTTGGTTTAGCCTGACGCTGGATAACGGCGTTCATTGTGTGACAACAGCTTGGTTGGAACTGGCTCGCAACGCACCAATCGGCCAAGAGTTTGAACTTGTCGTTCCAAACGACCTCGAGTTCCAATTGACCTTGAACGTGAAACTAGAGAAGCCGACCTACTCTCACGTCCAGCCTGCGGCGGTTAAGATGGCAAAACCCAAGACATCAACATTCAGCAGAGTTTTTGCGTCACCAAAGAAGCGCAAGGAGCTTGAGCTTCGGCAGAGAGCAGAGGAGGAGCGTTTTGCGCAGCAGCAGAAAGAGGCGTTGGCGCGGCAGCGTAAGGATGCTGGCTCGGCCTACGAGCTCTTTTCGCGGCTAGCTGCCGAAGATGGAAGCTTTGCTCGCGCTTACATCTCCTTAAAAGAGCACGAAAACCGATGCTTCGGTCGCCCATACACCGCCGAGGTTGTCTGCTTCAATGAGTGGGCTAGTGAAGAAGAGAGCTTTGCCTCTACCATCAAGAGCAAGCGAGGCAATGCTTCTGGCATTCTCAGGCGGGCGCCGTACAAAATTGGAAAGCTGGAGCTTCAGCTTCTGTTTGTACCTCGCCCCAATGGCATCACAGACGACGATATGCCCAAGAGCATGAATTCATGCATTCGAGAGCTCAAGGCTGCCGAAGAGAGACTCGCCCGTAACTGGGAGGGTGTCTTGAGCCAACAGGGTGGTGATTGTCCCGTAAGTTTTTTTTTTTTCCTAATTCACATTCCTCTCTCCCTTGGCTTCCACCTTTGACTAACCCTATTGTTTAGTACTGGCGCCGTCGATACTTTAAGCTTGTTGGCACAAAGCTGACTGCTTATCACGAGGCTACTCGCCAGCCTCGCGCAACAATCAACCTCTCCAATGCCAAGCGATTGATCGATGATCGTAGAACATTGATGGAGAAGGAGACAACCGGCAAAGGCGGGAAGCGTCGCAGATCTGCCTTTGCAGAGGAAGAAGAGGGCTACATGTTTGTTGAAGAGGGTTTCCGGATACGCTTCAACAATGGTGAAGTCATTGACTTTTATGCCGATACGGCCGAAGACAAGGAAGGCTGGATGAAGGCCCTTTCAGACGTCATTGGCCGTGGTGATGCCGGTCTAGATGAGGAAGCCGGTGGGCCCCGATCGCGGGCGAAGTGGTGCGAGCTTGTCCTCAAACACGAATCGCAGATTCGACGTCGCACTGAGAGCCGAAGAGTGCACTCACGAACGAGGAGTACGTTCAACTAAGAGGTGGTGGGCAAGACGCGCGGACTTGGGATGTACTTGCTATGTTATGAATACGTGTTGGATTATGGGGTATAACCGATGGAGGTGGAGGGGCATGGCGCAATTTTGCTACTACTACACACACATTCATTGGCGTTGCCGGTGCTTTTACTTCTTCCTTTTCTTCTTGTCTCTTTTTACCTCTTCTTTTCTGTTACTTTTCTTCTTCTTTCTACTTTTTTCTCATTGCTGGCTGCTATCTCATAGTTGTTTGCGGCAAAGACCGCTGTACGTATGGATTCTGATTTTGTACTAAAAAACCGGTAGCAAGTATAATGAGACCAACGCAGCCGATGCGCAGTTTCTTGATGTAAATGGAATAATTGGCACAACTCCTTTTCCCCTTCATTTTCTAGATGAAAATAGTCTGTGATTTGCTCAATGTGCACGGATGCTTATCATGGGTGGTAAATAAAGGAGGCTTCGTGTGCGTGTTATCTGCATCTATCTGTACCTGTACATACATTCCTGCTTGCTCTTCAATTTACCTACCACTCTGAGAGAGATTTACCAGTTGGCATGTTGACTAAAGACTATGTACACAGCGGTGTATATACCTTGGTAGACATAGATTAGCGCCCATACTTGAAGTATTACTTAAAGTAATACTTGAAGTAATATTGGAAGTAATCCTGTTTCTAGCATATGTTTGACATCTCTCTCCTTGTGGGCGCCTCATCTCTGGCCTCGTCATTTAATTCGAGCACCACAGTCTAAGGGGTCTTGTTTAATGCCAGGGCACGTGACCCATTATTTTATTACAACCAAATATCACTCATGAATTGTAGATAGACATAAACATGAAGCTATTGCATCATTTAGCCCAATAGAGACTCGAGCAAAATGTATAGACAGCTACAATTATGTATAGTCCATAGCAGATAGATAAAATCAGGTTCATCGCCAAGATTAAGGCAGCGCTGACAGAAAGCGGGCGCCTCCTGGTGGGGTTTCGAACCAGCTGGCGAGGCGCAGCGGGTCCCTCAGTGGGCTCGGCAGCCAATTGAGCTCATCCGGGGGGTCGTGCTCGGGGGGCATCGTCACCTGTAACAGCTGCGTATCAATACGCAGCACCCTTTCTCGAGCAGCCCCCCCGATTCTACCTCTCCCAAAGCGCAACTCTCCTCGCACCTCTCCAAACGCCCTCTCTCCACGTCTTTTTCTCTCTTACGCCTCTCTTCTCCCCTTGAGCTCTCTTTTTCCAGAGGACGCCACAATGGCTGGTCGATTTGTCCGGGCGTCCAAGTACCGTACGTTGCCCAGGCGCGAACTGATAGCTTGCCCCCCTCCTCTCTTCTGCGCTGACGACGACGACGAGGCTGACCGGTTTGCACACCACTCTAGGACACATCTTTGGCAAGCCCACAAAGAAGGAGTTTTGCTACGATAACCTGCGCATCAGCCGAAATGCCTGGGACACGAACTTGGTAAAGGTACGGGCGACCTGCGAGACGCGAGACGTGCTGCGGCCTTGCCTCGACACGATGTGCTGATACGAGTTGAAACACAGGCCAACGCCGAGTACCTGTCGGTCAATTGGGAGTCTTCTGGAGGCGGCGCCTTTGCAGTAATCCCGCTGAACGAGAAGGGCAAGGCTCCTGACCAGATCCCTCTGTTTCGCGGCCACACTGCGACCGTGCTCGACACTGACTGGTGAGCTCTCCATTGACCCCCCTATTTCCCTTTGACAGACCCTTGTCAACCCACCTTTCGCCCAGACGTTTCGGTCACTGACTTTGTCGCAATAGGAACCCGTTCAACGATCACATCATCGCCTCTGCCTCTGAAGACGGAAAGGTCTTTATCTGGGAGGTCCCCAAGGACTTCTCGCTATACACCGATGCTGAGGTGATCCCCGATGTGTCACCAGTCAGCAAGCTTGGAGGTCACACGAGGTAAGGGCACAGATTTCTACTGAGCTTTTATGCTCTGCTCTTCACAGGATTGAAATGTACTAATGCATGCACAAATAGAAAAGTCGGACAGGTCCTGTTCAACCCCGCGGCCGAAAACATCCTCGCTTCGGCCTCGGGCGACTTCACAATCAAGCTCTGGGACGTTGGCACTGGCCAGAGCCACCTGACTCTCCAACACACCGACATCGTGCAGAGCTTGTCATGGAACGCGAGCGGTAACATGCTTGTGACGACGTCGAGAGACAAGAAGATTCGAGTGTGGGATGTCCGTCAGGAGAAGCCTGTGCATGAGGCGGCGGGCCACACTGGTGCCAAGAACAGCAGAGCAGTCTGGTTGGGCGAGCACAACCGATTTGCCACGACTGGTTTCTCCAAGATGAGCGAGCGACAAATTGCTCTGTGGGAGCCCGGCCGCAGCGATCCCATTGGAGGTTTCACTCATCTGGATGCCATCTCTGGTGTCTGCATGCCATTCTGGGACGAAGGTTCCAACTGCCTCTACCTTGCTGGCAAGGGGTAAGCATACCCCTCACCCCCGCCATTGATCATGGCATTACAGCCACTAGAAATTACCAGTTACTGACGAGCTTTGCAGTGACGGCAACATCCGCTACTACGAGTACGAGAATGACAAGTTTGAGTACCTGAGCGAGTACAAGTCCGCAGACCCCCAGCGAGGTATCGCCTTTGTTCCGCGACGTGGTATCAACGTGAGTATTTTGATTCGTAAGTGTGGCTTTGACAGCATCCGGCTAACTCATGTTCTAGGTTCACGAGAATGAGGTCATGCGCGCCTTCAAGACGGTAAACGACAACTACATCGAGCCCATCTCCTTCACCGTGCCCCGTAGAGCAGAGACCTTCCAGTCCGACATTTTCCCTCCCGCCATTGGAACTCGTCCTGCCATGAGCGCCAAGGAGTGGCTCGATGGCAAGACTGATATTCCGGCCAAGATTGATCTGGAGAGTATCTACGAGGGAACTGCTCCTAAGGAGGTTGCCGCCAACTACCAGCCACCAGCCCCAGTTGCTGCTCCTGCCCCGGTTGCCGAGCCCAAGAAGGAGGAGCCCAAGGAGGAGCCCAAGCCGGCTTTCCGAGCTCCCGTCAGCGTCAGCGACCAGAAGAGCTCGATTGCTGCTATGGCCAACAAGTACCAAGACAACGAGGAGGAGGATGCTCCTAAGAAGGAGGAGCCATCAAGCTTTGACGAGGAAGTCAAGCCAGCTCAGCGAGCTCCTCTCCCCATCCGATCAGAATCGAAGCCTGCCACTCCACCAGTCGCAAGCCCCGCCCCAGCTCCCATCAAGGCAGCTTCCGCACCCGCTCCCGCCGCTGCTGGTTCCAGCGACGCCGCCACCTCCTTATCCGAGATTAAGGAGCTGATTGAGAACCAGACGAAGATAATCAGTGCGCAGAACGACCAGATTGGGCTGCTCACCTTGGAGGTTGAGTCCCTAAAGAAGCGTTTTGGATCGGGATCCCAGGACCAGAGCGAGCGAATCAGACAGCTGGAGCTGGAGCTGGAAGAGGCTCGATCCTAAATTTGGCGCCCAGCCAATGCAGTAGTACATAGTATCACGGCCTATCTATTTACCCGCGTCTGTTCAACTTCATTCTATGAGCCCATGTGTGTGTGTCGTTGTCTTTGTTTATTAAAGGAGGGGGCGGGAAAGAGAGGAATGAGCAAAAAGGATCTTGGGAAAAAAAGCAAAGAAAAATACTACTCCTCTCAACGTAAGAGGGGAATGGAAGGGATATGAGAGAAAGAAAAGAAAAGAAAGATGAGAATACAGAGACGCAACTTTTGATTTAGGGAGGGTGTGGGAGGGAGGATGTATGCAAGGGCGAGAGCAACCAGTTTCTTTTTCTCTCTGTTTTTCTCTTGTCTCTCTTTTTTTTTTTGCAAAGAACTCAAAACAAACTTGTTGTAATACCGCGTTGTGTGTGTGTATGTATGTACCTACATGCGTGTGTGTGTGCTGGGGGCCAAGAAAGTCATCTGAGCTGTTGCTTTTTGTCTCCGTCTCTTTTCCTTGCTTTTTAAACTTTTTGTCATTCCATGATATCTAAGTTGTGATATGTAGGTACCCGGCATTAGCTTTGTTTTGTTCAAATTACAAAAATGGCTCGCAAAGTCTATTTTTCGCCTAAGAAATTCAACGTAATTATGTCCTGTTTCTTTTTTTCCATATGCGCTAATGCAGTGATGATGTTTGCCCGCTTCCTATGCTTATTTTGATCATTTTTATCTTTTCCTTGTTTTTGTCTTACTTGTCTTTCCTTCTTTGTCTTGCTTTTTTGGAAGTTTGTTTATAGATGGTTTCTTGTTTCCTCGGGACTTTTTGCCAGTGACATACATACCTACTGTACGCTCACACACATTTCAAGCCTACCTACCCTGCTAGCCAGATCTATTTGCTTTTTTTCGCCCCCTTTGCGTGTGTGGCCGTTAACAAGAAGGATTCAACATGCCTACATAGACTTAACCTTGTAACGGATTACAAAGAAGAAGAGAAAAAAAGCACTTGGGGGGCTGTACAAAGCATGGAATCCATGCAACTCAACGCTTTACTACCTAGGGAGGCAACACTCAACTCGCCGAGTGGTTTTTACTGGTTTTCTTTAACCAGCCCAGCATCTCTAACAGGCATCATCCTTCTTCCAGATTTCATGCATGGGGTCACCAGTATGGAATCTAGACCGTTGATTTGTGTGATTTGCACTGCATGCAATTTGCCACTTATATGCTTCTTTAACCTATCGCCTATTCGTGGCTCATCACTAGACCTACTAGACTGCCATCCCGATTCAATTGCTCCGATTTGTTCTGTTTTGTTGCTGATTCCCACGCGAGGACTTGTGAAACAAGAACAAGTCTTCTGCACGCTGCTGACAAAGTGTGCATATGCGAAATTAGCAAAACTACCCTACACGCTGCCGATGGAGCTTGGATCTGCAGCGTAATTTCCACGCCTGTCGAAAGAATCAGGCCATTTTATTCAACCAGCCTCATCTTTTTTTCCCGTCTCTTTTCTTTTCTTTTTGTGGCCTAAACTCGGGGATCCAAAGCAATCTCGCCTGGGCTACGGGAAACTACAGGTAACAAAAATGCGGACTCTCTTGGTAACCCGCGATGTCCAATTACAGACTTTCACGTCAAGCATGGGACCCCCTTACCGTTCTTACCATAAACCTCTCTTGTCGCCGGGGAGACGGGTAGTCGTGACTTAATCATCACGTCGATGAATCGATCCCGGACTGCCTACTGCATCAGCCCTGTTTTTGTATTGGCTCTCCAGTTGCTCCGTGGCTAGTCATTGTCCAGTCTCAGGGAGGAACATTCTGAAACCCAGACATCGGGCGTCGTTGCTCGAGTTCTGCCTCTTTGAGGTTGACCGAAGCGGCTAAGTGGCTAGGAGACTGTGAAGCATCTACGCCGATGTGATGGTATTTCCGCCCCTTGCCTCCCACAGAGACTCCGAGCAAGCGGAAAAGTGATCAAGTAGAGCCCACGGAACTGGATGAGCGCTGTTTCAAAGGCTAAAAGACGCGGTTTCAGAATGCTATACTTGGGACCTGCTGGTTCTATGCGGCCAATCGGATCGCAACCCATGCAGTGGTCACGACTTGTATGCATGATGCAGGAGGGGTAAACGGCATTTCTTGAATGTACATTTATAGAGCACATCGTCGGGAGAGATGGAGTAGCAGGCATCGGATGCAGGTGCTTGTACAGGTATGGCAGTCGAAGCGGTAGTAGCGTCTGCTTGGATTAGCGAAAAGAGAAAAAGAGACGCGAGACAGCTCAGCCAGGGGGTTGCAAGCGGAGATGGACATGGGGATGTGATATTTTCCCGTAGCTGCATATCGTACGAAGGATGCCTAGAAGTCTCAACTGCTACATAACATTTGTGGCGATACGGAGACGACTTCGGAAGGAAAGGGGGAGAGAAGAGCGAATACTACCTTTCCGGAGCCATTCGGATACTGGCTGCCAGAGCGTTTAGACCAAAGGCCACAGCCCCAGACAATATTTCGCACGAGTGTTCGGCATTGCACATCTCTATCGCCGATGATTGTAGGCCTATGTCAAATCTTACCAGCCACCTGATATGACAGATTCCAATAACCGATGACTGGAAATCCGGGGCCGATGGAAATCGCCTGTCTCCGGGAGCATGGGCAGGCTTGACCCCTCAGCGTGATGTGCAAGTAGACGCCAAGGGTAGGCATTGATCAAGCTTCGAGAGAGGAAAAGCAGATCAGCTTCAGGCGTCTCAACACGTCTCCCACGAGTCAAGATTCTACCAAACCTGCATGCTTAGGCTGGCCTCTAGAGCGCATTTTCCTGCCTTCTGATTCTCATTCTTCCACAGTTCATTTAGCTTGATAGCTGAAGCTCTCTATTTAGCCACACAACCAGATACAATGGTCTCGGTGGTAATGCTTGTTTCGAAACATTGTCATGCTGTAGAGTTTCCAAAATTGGAATTTGCTTGGAGTGGTTTGGAGCTGACAAAGTGGCTCCGATCCTGAATTGTCGATGCTTCTCTCTTCTAGAAGAGGGTAAAACGGAGCCTCAATGTCTCAAGTGTACAGAGGTTTCGGCTTCTGCGCGTAATCGCGCAGGCCAAGTGTCCGTATCGTGTTACAAAAGAGCCGAGTCTCGAACACATACTCCGCATATCTTCACTCAAACTTGAGCTGATGGTAATAGCCTGGTACTAGCAGCGGTTTTCGCAGCTGATCTGTCATTCTGCTATGCCTCATTCGAATCAAACGTTGCTCGAGTCAGCCACGCACAGAATGCAAGACCAGAGTAAATAACCCCCATAGTCGATCGCCCGGTAATAGCGAGAGCGGGTTACTCCGTACATCAGGTAGGTGGATAGTTGATAGCAGATAGCAGCTCTCAGGTACACTATCATCGATAGAGCTGCTGTGTGGAGAGCTAGAATTCGATTTTGGAGCAGTTTCGTCTTTTTCTAGAAGCTATGGTGCTGTTTCAGGTCGTCAGCCTCACCTGGCAGAGCAAGATGCGAGCTCTAGTTTGAGCTCTTGGAAGCTCGATGCATCGTGAGATTGTAATTTAGTTCGATCTCGTGAGAGACTGCTGGAGACGACTGCTTGCTAAAGGAAATGAGCGAGGTCCTAGTCTACGCTTACATCAGTAAATAGGTCAAACTAAGTACGGCCCAGAGTCAACAAAGGTATTAGCACGCCAGGGCTGAACAATGAATGACTAGCCGACACCAGCCCCGCGCTGCTTTTGGCTCCGTTTCAGTGTCTGAAGCCGTGTGGCGTTGATCAAAAGGGCCTTTTTGACGCCACGCAATATCAAATGGCCCAGCTTAGGACAGAGAGCTGCATAGTTAAGCGGTATAGCTTCACTATTTCGGTTTGGCGGGCCAATCCATGCTTCCGTGTTACTATCTTTATCCATCCTGCTCTTGAAACCGCGTCTTTAGAAGGAGGAGACCTACCTGAGCGGAGCGGTGATGCAAGTTAGAGTATATAGCAGAGAGAGCGAGTAGAGCGGGAAAAGAGTATGCAGTATAAGAAATATGCAAGGATGAGGCACTGTAGGCCAATCAAAGGCAAGCTTTATTCGCGACATACTTGGGCGTTGAAGAGAAAGAGATTTCCTGTTTCTGGTTGGCCGATGCAGTGTTAAGGTTGATCTAATTTTGGCTCGGACCAACGATATCTGAGCGTCCAGCGGCAAATCGTAGCGGGCTGGCCGAGTAAGAGACCAGTTTACTTCCAATGAAAAGCCTGGACAACAACGGTGGTTGACAAAAGGCCAATGGGCAGGCCGTCAACTTGTATTGTTAGACGTGAATATGCTGGCATGGCGTCACTGGAAAAGTAAGCATTAGACTTTGCATCAAGCCCCAGCCAGTGTCATGAGAGAAATATATCATTCGGCGCAAGTCGAAGCGCCCGAGGTCCTGTGACTAGAGTTGATGGCGTTGATTTGTGAAGAGTCTTCTGCATGATGACAATGGTGCCTGCATATCACCACATGAGTGAGACCCGCATGGCCCCTTACATGCCTCTTCTCACAAATCGCTTTCGTCGTCACATAGTGGCCCGGAGTTGCTAAGAGGGTCGCGGCGCGTACCGGGCTATCAGCTCACACGGGCGGGACGATCAAGCACGCAAGCATTTATCGTCATGTTTCAGATGGCCACTACCCTGGCCACGGCAACCAGCCATCAACGTCGCAAAGGCCCATGACCGCAGGATTCCGACTGTTGACTGCTGGCAGAACCATACTGGTCGTCTGTTCAAGGCCATTGTCATGATGTGTGGCGTTTAACTGCAATACCTAGCTCGATGCTACGAAATTTATGGAGCAGGTTGGGCTTCTCTGTTAGGTCCTCTTTTATGTGCGCCGTGCGCCAGCCTCGTCGATCAACTGAGAAAAGCCGTTTAGTAGTAGCATCATTTGTACATGATTGCATCTTTGGCGATCTGATGTGCTGGATCATCGTGATGGCTTGCTTGCATGATATGGCCCTGTCGAGGAGCAACGGCGGAGGTTCTAGCGCTACTAGTAGCTGGCCTGCGCATCGAATGCTCGTTTAGGAGGTAGCTGTGGCTAGCTTGAACTTGGCTTTGGCGATGCCATGCTCGTCTTACGTCTAGTAAGGCTTCTAGCAGTCGAATTGCAGCGTGGTTTAATAGGCACGTAGGCGTAGTCGCAAGCCACGAGCTATATCTCGCGGTTACCCTTGGGCCACGGCTAGGTTCTACAACGCTTCCCGCGTTGTCATCGTCGGACAAGGTGGTCGAGAATAGACCGGACCGTCTGCTCGCTATCCAATGCGCCTGGGCGTAGAGCCACGACCCGCCCAGATGCGGTCGCCTGCATGCATCACCAACTCTACCTCATGGTATCAGGCTTAGCGAAGTCGCATCCCATGCTGTGCAAGTTGAGTACTGGATGTAGCAACCGACTCGTTCCCCTGCTCGTGCATCACGCATGATAGCATGAGGAGGGGAAGATGGACGGACACAGCCATGATTCGGCCGGAATATGTAAAGTAAGACAAGGGCTGGGGGCGTACAGAATCTGACGCAGCCAATGACGGCCGCGCGTGCCTCTAGCAACGCCTTCTCTCCACAGGGGGCCACTCTGAAGCGTTGCTCCAGGCGCGTTTCATCTTGAAAGGTCTCTCGTGCAGCAGCCCGGGCCGCGCGGTGGTCCAAGCAATCCTTGTTTCCAAGGCCTCGCATCGATTGGCCTGCGGCGGCGCGTTTGCAGGGAAGGGCTGGTCCAGCCAGGTTCTGCAGAAGGGCCGTCGGCGGCGGAAAAAGGTTTGGCAGGCGACGCTCGCCAAGCATACGAGATGCCCGAAGCGAGTACAGTAGAGAGATGAGGGCGGCCCCGGTATGGCGAGGTTGAGAGTGCCGTTTGGATGCCGAGGAGGAAGCAGGAGGAAGCAGGATAAAGTTGTGAGAATCGTTGAAGCGGGTTTTGGAGTTGCGGAATGGGCGCAGGCTGTAGCGGAAGGTGCAGCGCTCGGGTGTGGTTTCCCGAGCTTGCAGAGGCACCTGCTCTTGGATTTCTGGACTCGTGGTGCTGCGACTCCTTCGAGCTTCATTTACAGAGTCTCTTTTCCACTGGACTAAACCCAATCCACGGTTGCTTTCTCTGCCACCTCTTCTCTTCTCTCCTGCCGGAAATGCAGCGGCCACGATCTCCTCATGTTTCGAATGTGACCAGGGGCGCGGCCGTGACAAATCGACGGGCGAGGAAGAGTCCTCACGGCAATCCTACTGGCACGCCTGCCAAGGAAAAAGTTCATCAGATCGTAACGATAGAGCAAAATAGAAGAGCACAAAGCACTGACATCGCGAGTCCTGACTGGATCACGCTGTGGGGAAGCCAGATCCCATCACAGCAGGGAGCATGGCAATCGAGCGTTACAGGTGGCAGTTCGGACGCTATCTACCCATCTTTGCTCAGGATGTCTCCGATGATTCTATGCAGGAGAGCTGTTCTGACACTGCTGGATGCTACTAAAAGACGACTGGGATACGAGTTCTAGCTGGGATTGAAGCCTCTGAGGCCACCATCACGACGATGGCACTAGTACTTTGGTGTCTTGGCCTCGATCAGGCATCGCTATCACATCAGAGGCAAGAAAGAGTGTGCCCGTTCGAGATGCCGTTCTGGATGCCACCTTGTTTCAAATATTGTGTAGAGAGTTTAAATCCCCATGACTGCGGAGAGTCAGCGCCACCTGCAAGCAGTATCCGGCGTGAGTGTTCTCCAACGATGACTGCCGGGGACCTCAGACTGCCAACAATTCTCACTCGTTTCTTTCCGGCAACTATAACAAGCCAACAGAGAGATCTCATAGGCTATATTTGGCGTCTTGGATTGATGAATCGAAAACAATGTTTATCGGGTTCTTTCGTTGGGGTTCCTGGCTCGCATGCCGGCATTGACGAGCCACGGAAAGGCGAGACATCGGCAATGGGGAGCACGGAGACACCCTTCTGGCCTGTTCCTGCGTCAAAGGCAAGCACCAACGGGTCCAATCAGATATCCTTGCTCACATGGGCTGCCAGATGTGGCCGTCTCATGAGCCGCCGCCAAGTTCTAGTACCTGCATACCGTACGGCTACAGTGTCTGCGAGCGTCGCTCTCGAGGAATTCCTCGATGGAGCGGGTATGGACGACTGCGGGGCCGGCAACGAGGCACCAGAGTAGAGCATGCGCTATGCGCTGCCTGGAGATGGTCTCTCCATTCCTAGTCTGTTCATCTGCTCCGAGGCTTTCATGTAATGAATAAGGGACCTAATGAGCTCCAGATTACAACTTCATGCGGTCGAACATCCGGTCAGGGGTATGGATGGCTAGTGCCTATCGATACTTGCAGCAACGTACTCGTATCAAGAGGGCCACTCAATCAAACGGAACGCTAACGCGGCCTTCTTTTGCTTCCCATAAACTTTGGTTACGGTTCTGGTAATGGTCGACGGAGCCGGCTCAACGGCATGAATGGCATCGAACCGCAGGTACGCGCCAGCCCTCGGCAGGCTGTGTCCTGGCCAAGCCAGCTGGTGGCAATATAACTGCTGCCAATTACCTGCTAGGTGTTAAGAGTGCAAGTCTGGCTTTGGGGGCAGGGGAGCAGTAAGCCTGGGAGAAAAGGGGACCGGTTCCTCAGCGTGAAGTAACACTGAAGGATTGGAATTGGATTACAAGCAGCAAGGCCACGGACTCTTGTCGCCAGCAGATTGCTCGGGACGTGGAGGTTGGCTGGACTCCTTTGCCGACACACGCCCGTCCTATTTTTGTCTCGCTACCGACACGCCCTCTCTCTGACACGGTCGTGCAAAGCGCTGGTCATATTGGCAGTGGGGGAGAACAGATGAAGGGCCCGGTTTTCGCTCGCTGGGCCCCCTTGGCTGCAATTCCGCCGGCTGTCCAAGTACAGCACTGTAGGAACCAGCGAGAGGGAGCGTGAGCGTCTGCCACCCGGAATGCATGCATGCACACATCATGCTTTGGCCGTTGGGCTCTTGCAGCAAAGCGCCCAGGCACCAAACAATTGCAGTGGACGGGCCGCTGGTTGGCTGAGAAGCGCCGTTGAGAGCGCCAGGGCGGCGCCAATGCGCTGTGGCCATGGAGGCTTCCCACGTGAAGGCCGCTGGTTCGTCCAGCCCAGCAGAGCCTAGCGCTGTATCCCACTCTCTCGTCTCACTGCACTGTATTCTCCCAATTCTCTTCAGCAATCTGCGTTCTCCTCTCTGCTCTGCGAACCCACTCCATTGTGATTAGGAGCACCGCCCAGGTACCACCGTCCAGGCCAGTCCAGTCCAGTCCAGGGCCTGGCCCCAGTGGCTCATGCGCTATCGCCAGCGATTGCTCGTTTCCCAGGCCCACACCCTCTCTCAGTCGCGCTCTCGCCCGTGCCGCCCGCCATGCCCCCAACAGGCTTAGCAGCTGCCCGCCCACGCCTCTGGCGCTCTTTGTGCGCACCGACCCCTGCGCACCCTCTTTTTCTTTCTTTCTCTTTTTTTTCTGTTTTTATATTATTTCCTTCCGCGTGTATTATTAGTGGCTCCCCTCCTCTCTCCCCTTCCGCTAAAGGGAGAGCCACTCCACCGCAAAGTACTGGCCAGGTACACGCGCCGTAGCCCCTGCGCCACGCAGTACAAGAGGGCTACCGCGTGCCTGAGTAGCTCGTAATAACAGCAGCCTCCCAGCCCCAGCCCAGCCCAGCCCCAGCCCAGCACCACTCACTACTACGACCACAACCACCACCGCTGCCACTACTCGTGCGCACCCGTCCTAGAAGGCCTACAGCGCCAAAAAAATAGCCAGTGGGCTGGCGCTTCTACAGGCTTCGCAGCAGCCACTCCACCCCATTAAACGTGCCATCCCCCCGTTCTCCATCCTCGCGGCCTTCCTCTGAAATCTTTTCCCTGTGTTTCTTATTTCAACGTTTTTCCTGCCCTTTCGCTTCTCCTCCGCCTCCACCCCTTCCTCTGCATTTTCCCGTTTTATTCGGAGCCGCACAGAATCCTCTGGTGCCCTCTCTTTCTTCTTATTCTCTTCATTTCTTAACGTCGGGCCAGGCTGTCCCTCATCGCGCGCAAAGTCGCCGCCGTCACTCGTCTCATCTCTCGCCCAAACAGCGCTCCAAGACAAGACACGCCTCTCTCGCGGGGTTTTGCCGATTACTGGTTCCTTCGTTTCTATACGCATTTAATTCGCCTCCGACCGTCTCTGCAGCCTCCCTGCCACGGAATCACTAGTATCAACAGCATCATCATCGCCTTGACGGTTCGCTTTTTGGACGCGCCCATACATTCGCTTGACGCCGCTGTTTGGTCCCTCCTTTTTGCTGTGCAACCCTCTTTCAGTCGTTTCGAGCTGGTCTCTCAACACATCAACATCGCGTCGAACCGCCACGTTTTTCGCGACACTCGGGCAGCGCCTTTCATTTGATATTTCCTTTACTCTCTGTGTGTATCTACTACACTCTGCGCGCAATCGCCAATTACAGCGCGCAACATAAAAGCCGCAGGGACTTGATATCCGCCATCGCCAATTGCATTGGCCAAGCTGATCTAGGTTCCCATACGGCACCCTCCTAACGCCCTCCAACTGTTGACCGATTGCCTGGATCACATTCGCATCGCCACAAGCCGCACATCATGTATTCACAACACCCGGCCATTGCGCCTCAAAAGCCCGAGACGTTTATGCTGAGCACCGAAGCCCAGCAAGCTCTCCCTCATGACGCACAGGTCGCCCTCCAGCAGGTAGACAACCTAAAGTACTTCCTCATCTCCGCTCCAGTGGACTGGCAGCCTGATCAGTATATCCGACGGTTTCTCCTACCCACGGGCGAGTATGTCTCTTGTGTGCTGTGGAACAACCTCTTCCACATCTCCGGCACGGATATTGTGCGATGCCTCTCATTCAGATTCCAGGCCTTTGGCCGCCCCGTCAAGAACTCCAAAAAGTTCGAGGAGGGAATCTTCTCCGATCTCCGAAATCTCAAGTCAGGAACTGATGCCTCCCTGGAGGAACCAAAGAGCGCTTTCCTCGACTTTCTCTACAAAAACAACTGCATCCGTACCCAGAAGAAGCAAAAGGTCTTTTACTGGTACAGCGTGCCCCACGACCGTCTCTTTTTGGATGCGCTGGAGCGAGACTTGAAGCGCGAGAAGATGGGCCAGGAGGCCACCACGGTCGCCGTCAGCGAGCCTGCTCTGTCCTTCCAGTACGACTCTTCACAGTCGCTCTACGAGCAGCTCACCAAAAGCCAGCAGGCCAACTCCTCTTCCTTCAACGCCCAGCAGTCCTCATTCAACCCGAGCCAGTCGACCTCTCCCGTCATGAGGGCGATGGACTCCATGCCTCCCCCGAGCATCATTCCTCACACCATGGCCCCTTTGGCCGAAAGCATGGAGACAATGGTCCCCTACGACACCATGGGCATGGCTCCGGCCGTTCCCCAGCAGCTGGCGGCCGTCAAGAGGGAGGCTGACTTCACTCGCGTCCACTACAACCAGAATGGCATTCCCATTACTCACAGCCACCACCGCCACTCTTCCATGCCCGCCTACGGCCTTGAGTACTCGCCTGCTCCCTCCTTTGTGTCCTCGGGCTATGAGGATTACAGCAACCGGGGTTTGTCTTTTGAGCCCATTACTCCTCCCCAGCAGGCTCTTGGCATGACTGCCGAGCCCGCCTACATCGCCAACGAGGAGACTGGCCTCTACTCCGTCATCCCCGACCACATGTCTGGCATGTCGGGTCTTGGTGGAATGGTTCAGATGCCGTCTCACCTTACCGGTCCGCAGTTCCCTCGCTCCTACGGCGCAAACAACATTTACTCCGTGATTGAGGGATCTCCTACCTACAAGCAGCGAAGACGCCGCACCTCCATCCCCACCTCCATGTCTGGCATCGCACCCACATCGACCCCTTCGGCTCCTCACAGACCGTCAGATCTGCGTCGGTCTGTCTCTGTCTCCATGGGGCCCGTCGCTGAGGGTGAAGAATCCACCGGCAACTCGCCTTCCAACATGTCGTATGCCAACTCCCAGCACATGGACATGTCACGACACGGCAGCCCAGCCGTCCACCCCATGGCTCTGCAGCACGACTTTTCTCACATCAGTGATGATATGTCTGCTGATGGCCGTTCTATGATGGCTGGCGGCATTGTCCGACGTGCTCGATCGGCTACTGTGATGGAGCTCGGTCCTTATCCTCACAAGTCTCACTCTTGCCCGATCCCGACCTGTGGCCGATTGTTCAAGCGTCTCGAGCACCTCAAGCGGTAAGAATTCTCTCATTCATCAGACCAAGAGACATATAGAAACTGATATGATATTTATAGCCACGTCCGAACACACACACAAGAGAAGCCTTACATCTGCCCTCACTGCAGCAAAGCTTTCTCCCGATCAGATAACCTTGCACAGTACGTTTTTACTCAAATGTAATCTCACATATAAAATGCGAAATGCTGACCTTTATCTTTTAGGCACAAGCGCACCCACAGCCGTGAGGATGGTGGCGAGGGTTCATTGCATCTTTCTGCCGAGGAAGAGGAAGAATTCTCCGGCGAAGAGCATCTTGGATCTGTCGAGGAGGCATCGCCTACATCAGAATCTGCCTTTGTTCCCGGCTCCATCAACGCAGCTGTTTCAAATGGCACGATCTCTCCTCAAACCACCATGACATCCAGTCATAGCTTCAACAGTCTTCAAACACTCAGCATGCCGATGACCATCAGCCACCCTACCCCCATCAACGCTGGTGGTGCCATGTAGAGTGCTGTTTTCCTTTATCTGTCTTATTTTCATATGACTTTTATTTTCTTTCTATTTTTCTTCATTTATTTGCGTCACGATATATTTCATGTTCTATGGATCTCGGTTTAGGGGATTTCATGTTTGTTTTTTTCTTTCCTTCTTGATATCACCTTCCATCTCTCTCATTCACTCTTACCTTTTTTATGCGTCTTATGCTCGAATATCCTATTTTTTTACGGCTGCAATCGCAAGTTTGCTCTTTTAAACACAACTAGCTCAGGCTCTCAGATTGTCAGCAGGATTATTATCAAGAACCTGCTGGTTTCCTTTGGGGCTTTCGGGCTAGAAAGAGAAGTGAAAGGGAGGTTTTGCGTATGACAGAGAGTGAAAATGACGCTGTCTGTATATATATATACATATACTATTTATTATTCAATGTCAGCTTATAGGAGAGTCTCCTTGTTGGAGGCCCCCTTGTTAGTGTTTTTTGAAGTGCGGGAATTGATATAGACACGAAAACAAAAATTGCTATCTATTTTATGAATAAGAAAAGGCTCCTGTACGTGACTTGTGCGAAAAATCATATCGTCTTGTATCTATCAAACTTGCAGCTTCCATCACCGTTTACGTTGTCCATGGTATCTTGAATCAGTTCTCTCGATCTCCTACCTCTTCCCTCCCTTTCTTCCAGAGTCCTTGCCCCCTCTTCTGCCAAATGTATCTCTCGTCCCCTCAATCTTCTTGACGTCTCTCTCGCTTATCTTCAGCTCTGCACCCTTGAGTCTACCCACCGCTGGCCCAAATCCATTACCACCACCACCACCCCTCCTATCCCTCTTCGCCGTCTTCTTCTTCCCCGTTTCCCTCTCCAAGATGACGCCACTCTCCTTGGCTTCGCGCCTGCGCTTGGCCTCCCTGTCCACCGCAGCGGCAGTGATGCCCTTCCGCATGTGCATGGGCATCTTCTCCTGCTTATGGATGGACATTTTGGAGCCGAGGGCCTGGATGCGTAGGTCGAGGGCCTTTTGGCGGACGCGGCCCGAGGAAAAGGCCTTTGGCTCGGCGCCGGGAGTAGAAGTTGTTGAGAGGGCGGCGGAGAGGGAGAGCGGGCGGTTGGTTTGGAGGAGGTGCGATTCGGATATGAGGCGGCGGAGTTCGAGGTCTTGGGCGAGGAGGGAGGGGGCGTCTTCGGGGAGGGAGGCGGAAGATTTTGAGGAGGAGGGCTGGGTGGGGGTTGGCTTGGAGGAGGAGGATTGATCTGGTGGGCGGGAGGACTGTTGGTTTGGTTAGCATTGGGGATGATGATGGTTTTGGTGTTGGAGGACTGACCATGAAGGCTTTGAGTTCGCGTTTGGACATTGTGTTTGCGTTGGGGATTTGCGGGGCGGAGTGGTCTACTACTTCGATGATGGGAGTATCTGAAGAGACTGAAATCAGTATAATTGATATAGCAGACGGATTCGGTTGTTCCAAGACCTACCTTCTTCTTCCTCTTCATCATCGTCTAACTCGTCATCGTCGTCGTCGTCGTCGTCTTCGTCTGACACTTCATCGCCTGACACACCGTCCCATTCATCGTCTTCGCTACCATCGCTATCGTCTTCGTCCTCATCCTCATCCTCATTCCTCCGCACCTTTTGCGCCTTGCGCTTCTCTTGCTCTTCTATTGGGAGGAACTGCGCCTCAAAGTGTCGCCGAAAGATTTCCTGTGCGTCTTCTGAGGATACTGTCGGCTCGGGGGCCTTGCGCTTTCCGAGGACCGCCATTGTGAAGTTGATAAAAGCTGATGTCGAGCTCCTGATTCTAGGTCGTGCTGCTGTTGCTGCTGCGATGGGGTGGAGATTCGCGGGCCAGGCTCAATTGGAAACTTTTTTTGCTTTATCGTTATCAGTGGTCTCAGTTGGCTGTCTGGTACCTGGACTGCTACAAGCACTAGCGCTTAGTGGTTCTGGCTCTAATTGTTGGAGCTTTGGGCCCTACTGATATTACTTAGACGTCCATTTGTACTACGATGCAGGACTTGGATCATTCATCAACGTACAACTCTTGAGTTAAAAAAAACTAACTAACATGGGAACATATCAGCTAAATATTTCTCCGCTCGCCCATTGTCGTTTTCTATGCTTTCTACGCTCTATCCTTTGTTGTAAGTCGTCAAAGAGCCCCGAATAGCACAAAGGCTTATAGACCAAAAAAAATATGCCCGTGAGAAGATTTCGTCCGCGCTACATAGATGATGTCGTTATCTACAGCGATGCATTTGAACAACACTGCACGCACGAAGACGTATTATCTGAAGAGGCTTCAACTTGTTCAATGCTTTGGTTTGACCGTTCTAGGATTGTCATGACCGTTTGTCTGCACCAAAGCATATCTGTAAGCCCAGTGAGACCAGCCTCGTTAGGCGGCTGAAGAGAAGATGGACCATCAAATCAATCATGGCCTTGCATTCATCTTTACAGTGGAGTTTTACAAAAGGATTTTGGGTTCATCTTGACATTTGGTGTGACTTAACTTCAATATTTGATGCTCTTTGTGGCTTTGCACAGCGAACCTATATGCGTCCAAGTAAGGCCGGCACTCCAAGTTAATCTCAGCCATGAGTCGAGCACCACGGCGGCGGCAAATCATATCTCCGCAATCTGTCATGTAAGCAAGCACCAGCGCCCCTCTCCATTTCGTCACTGCTAGAGGGACAGAGGCCGAAGTAGCAGCTGGGAGCTGTTATCCTCGGCTTAGAGCCGACGCTTTCCAGTATTTCTACCCATCTAGAGCCGGCATTTACTTCTCAGCATTTTTGCTTTTTACTTTGAAGCCGCACCTTTGTGACTTTCTCATTCTCTTACTTTTAGACATTGAGCCTGCTTAAAAGCTTTACCAACGCCATGAATACTTTCCGTTTTATGAGACCGGCAGTCGCCAAGGTGCCCTTCCAGCGGTCCACTCTGCCTCGAATTGCACGGGCTTATAGCTCCAAGACTTATGAGTATATCCAGACTTCTACTCCGGCGCCGGGCGTTGGACAAGGTAAATATTACCAGATTATACATGAAGTCTTAAGGGCTGATTGATTGACTTTGATAAGTTACTTTGAACCGACCTAAGGCACTCAATGCGTTGTGCACGCCGCTTATCAACGAGCTCAACGACGCTCTGGTGGATTTCAATGCCTCTGATGAAACCTCCGTCATCATCCTCACCGGCTCACAAAAGGCCTTCGCCGCCGGAGCGGATATTAAGGAGATGGCTCCTCTGACCTTTTCAGAGGCTTACACCAAGGCGTTCATTGAGTCGTGGTCTCTTCTCACCACCCAGGTCAAGAAGCCCATCATTGCCGCTGTCTCTGGCCATGCGCTCGGTGGTGGCTGCGAGCTCGCCATGATGTGCGATCTCATCTACTGCACAGAGAATGCCAACTTTGGCCAGCCCGAAGTCAAGCTGGGAACCATCCCCGGCGGCGGCGGCAGCCAGCGCCTCACCCGCGCCATTGGCAAGTCCAAGGCCATGGAGCTCATCCTCACGGGCAAGTCGTTTAGCGGCGTGGAGGCTGAGAAATGGGGCCTCGCGGCGAGAACTTTCCCCACGTACGAGGCGTTGATGGAGGAGACGCTGAAGCTGGCCGAGAGCATTGCCGGATACTCAAAGGTGGCTGTCCAGGCTTGCAAGGAGGTGGTCAACAAGAGCCAGGACCTTGCTCTACGGGACGGAGTGGAGTTTGAGAGGCGCGTTTTCCATGCTTTGTTTGGTAGCCAGGATCAGAAGATTGGCATGAAGGCCTTTGCGGAGAAGAAGAAGGCTGAGTGGACTCACTCGTAGATGGGTGAATTTAGATGTAAAATATCTGATGAAAACGTGGGTGTATACTAAAAAAGGATTACATAGATATACGCCAACCAGAAACAATTAAGAATGAAATAATAGAGCTATCAAACACAGAAAGGAACGTTGAGGCGTAAATTGTAAACAATCTGGTTCTCAGATCGCGGCTTAAACTTTACGACGATTGGTTTAGTGGGCTCTCCATGTACCATAGTCTAAGGTTGCGTCGACATACTTGAAGATGAAAAATCATTTATTATTGTCATATTAGTTTGATAGAGTTGGGAGTGTAGCCTATGGCTCAAAAAGTCACATTTAGTTCAACTTTCAATTCTCGAGCGCTTCCTCCCGTTCTGTCAGCTCTTCTTGTCCAATCCTTGCAATGTCGGCATTTTCCAGCGTTTCCTTGTCAACCCCCTTGATCGCCTGGTTGAGTAACGTCGCCACAATCTCATTCAAGTAAATGATTGGCAGACTAATGAAAGAAGTAGCGATGTTTTGAAAAGCATTGACGAGCTTGTATCCTTGCTGAGAGTCTCGAATGAGACCCGGCTTGAGGATGCAGGCCTCAACAGCGCCGTTGGAGTTTTTGGCAATTTCAAGAACACGGGTCTCTACTTCTCCCTAAGATAAAAGCTTTCAGTAACAAGATTCTGCGATTCCATCTGACTAGATGGTTGTGATAAGAAGAGAATCCTGAATACTTACTCTCATCAAGCAATAACCACCCAGCACCCACGGCTTCTTAGTTTGGTCACGCACAGTGTTGGCACCGCTGACGTATAAAAACCGCAGAGGTTTTGCCTCATTGCCTCGCGGGAGCTTGGAAAGCGTTTCAATACCAGCAACGGTATACTCTAAGCAAATCTTTCGGACTTCATCCCAGGGCATGGTCATGGATTTATTGGGAGTGACAGCCATGAGCCTATGATGAAGAGGTGTCAGTGATTCAAGTTGGCCGTATCATCTCGAGTTGAGACTCACCAGATGCAGGCATCGGCATTGGAAAGCTTCTGCTTGACATCGTCTGAGTAATTCAAAAAGTCATCGCACACAACGGACGTGAACTTTGCTGCATCAGCAGGATTATCCAGATTCTCTGGGGCGGGAGTCTCGCGGCGACCAAGGCCCACGACGGACGTTATGGCGGGAGAGCTGACTGCTTGGCGGACAAGTGCTTTGCCAACGTAGCCGCTGGATCCAACAATGATCAACTTCATATCGAAAAATGTTTCTTCTTCTGGATGAAATGGGGTTGTGTTTGTTCCAAGTTGGAGAATTGAGTTGCGTCACTGGCATGAATTATGTCATCCATATTTACCGAGATATTAATAGTGGAAGGATCCTACGCTGGGATAGGCTATTCATTTATGGTGGCTTATTTGAGAATTTTTGGCTTCAGTGAAAGCACAATTGAACATGAGTCAAAAAATACGACTGAGAGCATCAGATAACAATACTAGACGCCATTTATTGGATACACGAAGTGAGAATATAGCAGTGAAGATGACTGCCCAAAATGGAAATTAGCTCTCCAGAAAGAGTGGCTTCGGCTAATCCACACCTAGCTTTAACTTTAACTTACAACCAGCGGTTGAGCGTCTCTAGTAAAACTCCAGCGAATATACCTGGAGGATTTATAGAGCCATATGTTTCACAATAGCTTATTATGGCGTGTAGACGTATAGCGTGTAATCACGGCTCATTCACCTGATCCCATGTTCATATAAGCCCCGCTCACGTACACCAAATTGGTGCTCTGCCTCGTGCAGCTAAAGTACGTACCCACAGGCTTTTAAATGGCTGGTGGCCACCGCTACGAATCTGCCTCCTCCAACCATCAAGTCGGGGCTGTGATGATACGGATCTTAATTCCTCTCACACAAATCTCTGTCCACATGCGCCGCCCACATCGTCTTCGCTTCTCCCCAGCCGCAAAACGAAACAAAATATGAATGGAGTCTCGCAAGCCTAGCTTCGACCTGGGCAAGGAGTTGACATGCTCGGTATGATTTCGATACCCCGCGTGGGAGCCCAAGCCTCCATCACCGCCCAACTGACACGTCATCCTATATAGATATGCGCTGATCTCCTCTACCAACCGCTCACACTGCTCGACTGTCTTCACACATACTGCGGCTCGTGTCTGAAAGAATGGTTTCGCTTCCAGGCTGAAAGGGTTGGGCGGGCGCCTACCCCGCCACCGCCAGACGCCATCATCTTCACCTGTCCATCATGTCGGAGTTCAGTGAGGGACACACGGCATAATGCCACTGTGGCGACTCTCCTGGAGATGTACACGGCGGCTAACCCCGCCAAAGCTCGGTCGGAGGCCGACAAGAAAGAGATGGAGGAAAAGTACAAGCCTGGCGATCAAGTCATGCCCAAGGTCAAGACTCGTGAACGGACCGCCGAAGAGAAGCGGGCCGAGGAAGAAGATCAGAGGCTCATAGATGAGGTGAGGGAGCTGAGTCTGCAAGAAGCCATTGCCGCCGCCATGCCAGAAGATTCACAGGCAAGGACAGCAAGGAGAGCGAGGAGACAGGCAGACGGGCGATCTCGGTCGAGCTCCGATTATAGATCAGATGGTCGTTCGCCGCGGCCAGCAAATGACAGGGGAGAAAACGGCCGGAGAAACTCTGACTACTTATCTGCAGACGGAGACTCACAAGCTCAAAGACGACGTAGCGAGTCTCGACAACGCCAAGTCGAGCATCAGTCATCGCTGAGGTCGTTGATCGGGTCTGAGATGAGCGAGCGAGATATCCAGAAGGAGATTGAAGAGTTTGCACGGCAGATCCAAGAAGAGGGTCTGTTAGATGGCCTTGATCTCGATAACATTGACCTGAGCCGGGACGATGAACTCAGTCAACGCATCACCGAGGCGTATAGGAGACGCCAAAGGGGTCGCTCTAGACAAGAAGAGAGAAGGGCCGACTCACGCTCACGACATTCTGCATCTGCGTCGATGGATTCCAGACTGCGGCCTGACAGCGCCAGGCATCCAAACCAGTCTCGCTCACACTCACGATCAATAAGCGATGTGGGAGATCGGAGTAGGCCTCCGATATCATCTTCAGCAAGCCTTGGCGTTCGAGAGCCTGAGAGGAGGACCAGGAGGCGGACTGCCAGCGGTGGGCAGGTGAATACTCTAACAGCGATGAATCTATCTGCTATGGACGCAAGGCCTGCTGCTCATTCTCAGAACGATTTGACCCTGAGAAATCCAAGCAACTATGATCCCACGGCATCAGTGCCGGCTCTGAGAATTGGCCGAAGTTCAAGTTCAACTGGAATACCTATTTCTGCTCAAACTACCGATGCTCCAGCAAACGGTAGTGCGAACAATGCCTCCTTTGCGAGTCGAGCGCAAACCCTTCCATCAGCCCCTTCTCAGACAAGTCTAATCACACCCGAATGGATAGAGCTAGGAACTACGCGAAATTTTAAACCGAACCGGCCGGCTGATGTGGCTAGTCCTCCTGGTTCTTTGGTGTCCAGCCCCGTTCAAAGCCCAACGGCGACCTCGGGGCATCAGCGCACTCGGCAGCTGTTTGAAGAGCCTTCAATCAGCTGCTCGCGATGCAAAAAGTCTGATATTCAGTATGACGTGCATTACAATTGCAAAACGTGCGAAGATGGCTACTGGAACATTTGTGTTGACTGCTACCGGTCAGGCAAGGGCTGCCTACACTGGTTTGGATTTGGTCATGGTGCCTGGAAGAAGTGGGAGAAGCGCAAACAAGCTGATGAGTCTATTCCCATGCCTCACATACTGAATGCTGGTCGCTACTTGCGCCCAGCATCGACAACCATGAGCTCGGATGGCAAGAAAATATTGACGAGCGACGACCCCAAGTTGAGACTGGAGACGGGCACGTTTTGCTCACGATGTTTTGCTTGGGCCAACGAGTGTTTCTGGCGCTGCGACGTCTGCAATGAGGGTGACTGGGGATTCTGCAATAGCTGTGTGAATCAGGGGAAGCCATGTAACCATAAGCTTCTGCCGATGGCCCATGAAGGGACGCTCAAGACTACATATCGACCTCGCAGCCCCAAGTCGTTGAGCCGACCCTCCACAGCAACAGTCATTGCGGGATCGCCAATATCCGGGATTGGGCTATTCAGGCCACTTGAATTCAATTGCAAGTGCGAAATTTGCAAGGATACCATTCCGCCATCGCAATTGAGATATCACTGTTTCAGCTGCACAAGTACGGCTGTTGAGGATGCTACTCCTGGAGACTTTGATATTTGTTTCTCCTGCTACGGCGACTTAGAATCAAAGGGAGATGTAAGCGAGGAGAATGGCTCGGCAGGCTGGAGAAGATGCCCCAGTGGTCACAGAATGATTGTTCTCAAGTTCCTAGAAGGCAAGGTTGGCCAATGGCGATATGTGGAGAGGGATCTAGTTGGCGGGAGAGCCCTTCGCATGGAGCCTCTCGAGAATATTGCGCATCCTGATTTTCAGAAATGGTCGTGGTATGATGGAAGTGAAAAGCTAGAGCGCCTGGCGACTACAAAGGTATCGGCAACGGCCCCGGAGAGCTTTGGCGAAATCACCTACACACGGACCTTCCCGCCTGACGGCGGTTGCGGACTGATGGCCCATGCAATGTGGGCATATTATCCAAAATCTGGCAAAGAGGATGATCTATTCTTTCCTCGAGGGGCTAGCATTGATGAAGTAAGGGATATCAACGGGGACTGGTTTTTCGGGACTTATATGGGTGCCAAGGGCATGTTCCCAGCACCATACGTCCATCTACCACAACAGTCATGAAGAAATGTAGAGTGCAACACTTTGGCAATGCTGGGATAGAGAGGGATATATTGGGTCAAACGCCTGCTCAAGTGCAGGCTGATGTGGTTATGTGAGAGGTTCCTGATTGGCTAGGCACTGATCCAGAGTCATCACTTTTACATCTTGTGACACTGAGCCATGCATACCTGTGCCGCTGACGCTTGGACTTTAGCCTGGTTCGCCGTCTTGGGCCAAAGCCGCCTGCCGAGACGACGACACAAGTCCAAGTCCAGGCGACAGCTGCTGTAGATGGACATGGCTAAGTGTCACAAGACGTAAACGTGATGACTCTGATCAGTGCCTAATCCATCAGGGGCTTGGGGTGCCTTCTCAAACATCATGGTGACAAATACTCCACATGGTATATAGGTATAATATAAATAATTATAATGTATTCTTGTTGACTTTACTTTTTTTTTGTGCCAATTGCTACAGTTGCTTTGACATAGATACAGAATACCTATACTCTACATATACTCATTTATGTCATGCTGCCCAGCCTTACTCTTACCTCGGTTATCAAAACCAACGCTCTCAGAAGACATGACTACATAAACCAACAACTCTTATTAGCAGCGTTCTCTACCGATTCCAGTAGAATAATCGTATGCGGCAAAAATGCGGCATCTTCCAGACGACTGACGCTCCCTAATTGAAGCGCAAAATGACGTGATCGGGTCCTCGGGCGTCGGCCCCACCACCGGGCCCTCGGCGGCAGAGGTTCTGGGGAAAGAGGCCATTGATTGATGCTCTCAGCTGGAACTTACAAATCCTCGACCACTGCACGGATCTCTCTCTCTCTCTGTGTCAATAGAGGCTATTCAGAGCTCCAAAGACGAGTGAGGCCCTGAATTGCTGCAGCCATGTTCCGACAAACTGCGCGGCGCTTGGCTGTTGCGGCGGCCAAGGCTGCTGAGCCCAGCGCTTATACTCTGGCTGTGTCCAAGGCGCAGGGCGTGGCACGAGGCCTGACTGGAGGTATGTGATGCTGCTACTTCTGGTGCTGCTACGATTTGATGGTCACTAACAATTACTTGCGCAACAGCCATTGGCAACACGCCCCTCATCCGCCTCAACCGCCTCTCTGAGGAAACCGGCTGCGAGATCCTGGGCAAGGCCGAGTTCATGAACCCAGGCGGCTCCGTCAAGGACCGCGCGGCGCTCTACGTCGTCAAGGATGCCGAGGAGCGCGGCCTGCTCAAGCCCGGCGGCACCGTCGTCGAGGGCACGGCCGGCAACACGGGCATCGGCCTGGCGCACGTCTGCCGGTCGCGCGGCTACAAGCTGGTGATTTACATGCCCAACACGCAGTCGCAGGGCAAGATTGACCTGCTGCGGCTGCTGGGCGCCGAGGTGTATCCCGTGCCGGCGGTGGCGTTTGACAACCCGGAGAACTACAATCATCAGGCGAGACGGCATGCCGAGGCGCTGGACAATGCTGTGTGGACGAACCAGTTTGATAATACGGCGAATCGGCGGGCGCATATCGAGACGACGGGCCCGGAGATTTGGACGCAGACGGGTGGGAAAGTGGATGCGTTTACGTGCGCGACGGGCACGGCTGGTACGTTGGCGGGCACGACGAGATATTTGAAGGATGTCTCTGGTGGACGTGTCAAGAGCTTCCTCGCCGATCCGCCGGGCAGCGTGCTGCACTCGTATATTTCGTCAGGCGGCAAGCTGGTCGAGCGGACGGGCTCTAGTATTACTGAAGGCATTGGCCAGGGCCGCGTGACGGACAACCTGGCGCCGGACATTGACCTGCTGGACGGGTCGCTGCACATTTCGGACGAGAAGAGCATCGAGATGGTGTACCGGTGCCTGGACGAGGAAGGGCTGTACCTGGGCGCGAGCTCGTCGCTGAATGTCGTGGCGGCCAAGGAGGTGGCGGAGAAGCTGGGACGGGGCCATGTGGTGGTGACGATGCTGTGCGATGGGGCGTATAGATATGCGGACCGGTTGTTTTCGCGGAAGTGGTTGGAGGGGAAGAAGCTTTTGGGGGCGGTGCCGAAGCATTTAGAAAAGTACATTGTGCTGCCTTGAGCGCTGCTTTTTATATGGTATATTATACACGTATATATATGGGATGATACATATAGACTTTCATCTTTTGACATCTAAGCCTCTCCTTTTTTTCCTCCTGGTTCTAGAAAACGCCCCATTTTGATCCGTCAGCTTATAGCAAGTGTCTTTTCCTCTCTTCGTTTCATCATTCTGCTTTCCTCCCTGATTCCGTTTTTATACAAGATTTTACCACTTCGGCGCCTCTCCGACAATTGTAGAGTATTCCTGATCCCAGCCCTCTGTTGAGCTCTTGCTGGTCTTGACAAAATGCCGCAGGTGATCAGCCAGAGTAACCTCCACCGGTGCGAGGCCCTGAGCTTCTTCACCGAGAACCTCGCGCGCCAGCGCAATGCCCTTGATGTTTTGTGCCAGAACCTTGACGTACGCACTTCCGTTCAAGGCCTTGGGGATCTTGACTCCCTTGGGGTTGGAGTTTCTCTCTAGTGTGGGGTTGAGCTTTGCAAAGTCGGCAATCTCCTCCAGGTTCGCGCTTGTTGAGTCTTTCCATAGTGAACTGAGCAGCTCGACTTCATCCTTGAGCAGGACGAGGTCTTGCTCGACGGGCTCGCCGGCTTGCTGCTTGACTTTGGCGGCGGAAGCCTTTGCGAAGAGTGTCATTCCGCGGACGACGCGGGAGAAGTGTAGTCTCTCTCGGGTGGGCTGGCCTTCAACCGCGTGTTCTCGGCGCTGGAGAAGATCGAGGACCTGGTCGGCCCATGTCTGTGCCTGCTTTGTCTCGGTGACGTCCCAATTGCTGCTGGCAACCTTCTCGTTGATGTAAGATAGAACTCGGACGACTGTTTCCCGGTTTGTAAACATGAGCCCCGTCTTGTCCGACTGCTTCGCGCACTCAATCACGGCGTGGATGTTGCCGCTGTCTCCCGCCATGCGCACAATCTTTCCCCAGTGGTTGGCCTTTAGCCTTATGCCGGCCTTTCTATACCCCGCCAAGAGAGTGCCCAGGTTGGCCCAGTCATCCTGGCTCTGCATGCTCTTGAGGGCCTTTGTGAGGATGGTTTTGGAGTTTTCGATGCCGGTGAATCGGTCAATGGTGGAGAATTTGTGTTCGAGGCCCTCGACTTCGATGATGATGGGGTTCTGCTCGAGGTACGACTTCATCTTGGGGTCGAAGACGAGCTGGCGCTGCTTTTCGGGGAGGTAGGCGGGGAGGATGATGGTTTCTTGGATTGTGTTGAGGACTTTGTTCATTTCGTCGTTTTCGGTCTCGGCGAAGACGGCTCTTACACCTGTTTTGCAGCTCGTCCGTTAGAAGTTTCATTCGATTGAATTTATATACATTCTCGGACTGAAGATTGCTATTGCGTACCATGCGCTGGCGAAGTGCTGAATTGCCTCGGCGCAAGGCCCGATGGCCGTGCCGTTCGTGCATTGAGGCGACCAACCGACCGAACGGCCGTCCTTAGTGACCGATTTGACATTATGTTTGCTGTGAAGTATGACCGGTAGCGATCTCTATCAATTTGAAAAAAAAAAAAGGTTACATGCAAGGCCATTCTTAGGCGCAAGTTGAGCTGGGTGGGTCGGAGAAAAAGAGGAGCCGGGCCAATCACGGCGGCGGAATGCATGGGCTTTTCCAACCCATTGGAGCTTTTGCGACTTTCTCGCCCAAAACGTTAGTTGAAGATCTTGAAGCCAGCTTTCAACGGCGCCAATTCCGATCACGATGAATGCTGCTGTTGCGAGGCAGTCGATGGGCTGTCTGAAGGCGGCTCTGAGGAGGACGAGATACCAGAAAACATGGCAGAGATGCCTGGCGACAGAGGCTGCGAGCCCCTCCACGGCCTCCATTACGAAGAATGCCTATAGTCAGAGACAACGTATGAACTTTTGCTCTACTCTATTTACATTATGAGAAGTAATTTCGAGAGAAAAACCAACTTTGCTAACAATTGGATTATTCAGACATGGACAAGCAAAAAGTCTCGAAATTCCAAATCTGGCCCCAAGTCCCTTCACCACGAGCCACCCATCCCGACCCGATGCCCACCCTGAAGCAGCAGGAAATCGCCCGCCTCGACCCGACCGGCGCCCGAACGAGGCTCTTCTCCAGAGACCACGCCGACAGCGCCAAAGTGGGCGACGTCCTCATGGTAACCACCAAGGCGGGGGAGCCCTTCTCGGGCGCATTCATCCAGATGCGGCGCCGCGGCGTCGACACGGCCATCCTGCTGCGCGGACAGCTGATGAAGACTGGCGTGGAGACTTGGTTCAAGATTTACAGCCCGACGGTCACGGGTATCGACATTATCTGGCGCAAGCCGAAGAGGGCAAGGAGAGCGCGGTTGACGTTTATGCGCAAGCCCAAGCACGACATGGGTAGTGTGGATAACTTGGTGTCGGCTTGGAAGAAGGAGAGGTATGCGCTGCGGTCGAAGGCGAAGCAGGGTGGTGGAAAGCAGATTCGAAGGTAGAGGGGGAAATGGGAATCGGGGAGAGGAAGTTGGTCATGATCACGCTGTATGATAAGTGTCTAAATGTAAAATTTTCAGAGTTATTGCACGAAAAGCTGTTGGAGAGAGATCTTTGAGATTTGAAGTTTTACAAGTCTGCAAGGATTGATAGATATTACAGGTACTTTATTAAGAGAGAAGATAAAGCATTCAATGGCTTTGGTTCATCTTAGCATTACACATGACTACCTATTCAAGTCAACTAGGAATGCGAATAGTATTGGCGGAGTTGCCGCAAAGCAGCTACATTCGAAGATGTGGTTATCTAGCATTGAAGAAATATGCTTTTTCCTTCTTCTTTCATTATTGTTACTAGGTCTTTGGCAAGTTCATTTCAGTTTGAGTGGAATCGTTTGGCTTCATAGGAAGCGGCAACGTGCACTCATAGACTACCCGGCAGTGAGAAGAAGGGGAACGACTTATTGCGTGAACGTGAGTAATAAGTATTCATACGTTAACCGATGTTAGCATAAATGCACAATGCAGACATTGCTGAAATAGTTGTCATTCTTTCACCTGAATAGATGTGCAAAGTGCGGCAAATGCTACAACGCCAGGACAAGATGTCATATCTAAAAAGTTGAATATCTTCAGATGTTCGCAGGCAACGTATACACGCTATTAGTATCAACGGAGAGTAAACGTTTATCAGTTTTCATCAAGTATTCAATTGGCAGTGGAATGGAATGGAAAGGCATTTCAAGCGTGGTAGGCAGCATGATGTGAAGCGTACAATGTCGATATGCAGATACAGTCTTGGATACACCATTGCACGAGTTGTATCATAAGTGCATGTACATAGCAATCGGCATCATATTGGCTCCGTCGGATATTAACTGACCTGACTATGGGCAGAGACGTGCTCAGGTAACCCTTGACTACAGACCGTGAAAGGCGACCTGTCATGTCATTGGAGTCTGCACTCTGCGTGGTTTAGGGGCCGCGTCTTTGAATAAACTTTCCAAGTCGCGTTATTGCCACACCACCAAGCATGGATTGATATTTCTAAGACTGGTTTTGCGTTTGCTCGTGACAACAGGAAGGCGGTCAATTTGTTGATACTACCGGTAACAGTACCGCCAGGGATCATGCAGAATCAAAGCTACCCAGCCACGACATTCACTGCCACCAGCCATTGACCCACGAAGGACGGCCAAGCGTATGTGAGGCGGCCGCATCGAACTGGCCATCCTGAACGGATATGGCTTGTTCACGATTTGCCAACTCAGCTGAAGCGAACCTGTTTCTGCACCATCAAACCACTGCCGCGCAATCACCGGATGGAAAAGAGTGGAGGGAATGGACGAAAACGACGATTCTTGCAGCCAAGCGAAGGACAAGGCAAGCGCCACGACGGCCTGGTATTCGCTGGCCTTGCTTGGTAGAGTTTCATCACCGTTTTTGCGACCTGTGGGTTGATGCTTGACGCATCTCCATGCAGTAGCTGCTGGCGTTCGCTTGGAAATTGAGGAGGTTGGATCGCTGGATCGTCAACGAGGCGAACCTTGTCCCCATACCTTTGAAGCAAGACGAGAGCCGGAATCGTGTTGATTCGAGTTTAGCTCCTCGATGCCGCCATGCGCTGACTTCTTGGCCGGACCCTGGCGGATGGACGTTTCTCATGTGGCAGCGTGGAGCCGTGCATGAGGACCCAATCGCTTAAGACGGCGAGGATGCTTGAACGGTGCCACGTCGATGTTACGGAGCATCTGTCAAGCTCGCCTGCAGCATGGTCCAGAGAGGTTTCTGATACATCGTGTTGAGGTGAGTAGGTACTTGGCTGGAGGAAGGTATAACTACAGTCGAAATCCAGACGAATTGAAAGAAAAGAAGAACAGAACAGGAGCAACAAAGCACAGTAATATTAATTTAATTCATAATAACCTGCTGAACCCTCTCGTCTTTGAGTGTTGTCAAAGCACAAACTCATTCTTCTTCTCATTGTCCCAAACGTTTGAAACGAAGGAAGCCGAGCCGTCTTATCGATAAAGCCGCTTCTTTGTCTCCCGTCCCTTTGTCGCAAGTACCTGTACATGCACCGGTACCACGACGCCGACTGCCTGTTACCGCTGTCACTCGTAGCGCTACTGCTGCTGCTCGCGCCCGTCCTCATGGCCTATAACAGCCTGTGCCACAGCGCCACGGGGCCGCTAAAGGCGCCTAGACAGACGGCACCCACAGGCCCCTCGCGGAAGGAGCTGCAGCCCGGCAACCTCGAGCTGGCTGATCAGTTCCCCGAATTTTGTTTACAAGCCCAGCGCCACCTCGATCTCGACGCCAAAGTCGCTGCATCCACGCGCCAGCTCCGTCTCCAGCTCCAGGTCCAGCGTCCCGTTACTCCGCCGGACCTCTGGACGCCGCCCAGATCGCCTGTATCGCCTGTCAGTCCTGCTGCCAGTATCAGTGGCACCATCTCCGAGGCTGAGGCTGAGCCGCTGCCATTTGCTGAGCGCCTGCAAAGGGGCCCCTCTCCATCGCTACCCCGGCCACGCTGCATTTCGGACCCCCCTCAGCGGAGTGGGCGGGACAAGGAGCGTAGTGGCATTACTGCTACGCGCCTCCAGCGGTCAGAGAAGCGCAGCTCATCATTGGGCACCAAAGCCCTGAGCCAGTCTCCGACGCACTCAAAGCTTTCCAATCCTCCCAAGCCGCCGCCCAAGCCTGCAAAGTTCTCCAGACAACCTCGCCCGGCAGAGTCTCAGACGTCTGAATCCCCTGAAGCTGCCTCTGACCTTGCCCTTATCGAGAGCAAGGCGCCTGCTGCCGACGTACTAGTCGATTCGTCGTCGATTCGGGGCGTCCATGACCAATTTCTCACAAGGATGACCTTCTCGGAGCAGCAGAGATGGATCACGGTCCAGCAGAAGACGTTTACCAAATGGTGCGTGCCAACCTGCCCAAACAGAGCAAGATGTCCAAATGATTTTTGTATTGCAAGCCCCGTGAAATGCTGACCAGGATGTTTCTGCAGGCTAAACACCAAAATTGTAGCCAGAAACCTGGAGGTGAAGGACCTGGTAACAGACCTTAGTGACGGTGTAAGTTGAACACTTCTTGAACTCCATGCACGCTCTGTATACAGTGTTTTCCGCCTGTTGCTTGCCGCCATGTATCATGAGAGCCCCTTGCTGACATTTATCTCGATTTTCCTTCGCCCTTTAGGTTATGCTGATTCACCTCCTTGAATGTCTTTCCCAAGAATCCCTCGGTCGATATGCCTCCCGCCCGAAGCTTCGAGTCCAACGATTCGAAAATGCCAACCTGGCTCTGGACTTCATCAAGTCCAGAGGCATTCAGATGACAAATATTGGCGCTGAGGATGTTGTTGATGGAAACCGCAAAATTGTTCTTGGTCTCATATGGACCCTGATTCTGCGTTTTACAATTAGCGACATCAACCAAGAGGGCATGTCTGCCAAGGAGGGCTTGCTGTTGTGGTGTCAACGAAAAACTGCATGCTACGATGAGGTCGAAGTTCGCGACTTTAGTAGCAGCTGGAACGACGGCCTCGCCTTCTGCGCCTTGCTGGATATCCATCGACCGGATTTGATCGACTTTGACACGTTGGACAAGTCAGACCACCGCGGCAACATGCAGCTCGCCTTTGATATTGCCCACGAAGAGATTGGCATCCCCAAGCTGTTGGATGTTGAAGATGTGTGCGATGTGGCGAAGCCCGATGAGCGAAGTTTGATGACCTACATTGCCTACTGGTTCCATGCCTTTTCTCAGATGGAAAAAGTCGAAAACGCGGGACGACGAGTCGAAAAGTTCTTCAACAACATGCAAGGCGCCTGGGAGATGCAGAACGCCTACGAGAGACGAATGCGGGAACTCTTGAAGAATATCCGAGGCCAGGTTGAGCAGTGGCACACGGCCAAGTTTGAGGGCACTTACGCAGATGCAAAGGCCCAGGCGTCCGAATTCTCAGAGTATAAGAGAGGCAAGAAGCGAGAATGGGTTGCCGAGAAGAGCGAGCTTGCCACACTATTAGGAAACATCAAAACGAAGCTGAGCACCTATCGGTTACGGCCTTATGAACCTCCGGCGGAGGTTAGTCAAGATGTTATTGAGAGGGATTGGAAGAGTCTTACAAGCAGCGAGATGGCTCGCGCGCAACTCATCAATGAGACGATTCGAGAGTAAGTGAAAAGAGAGCTCTATGCACAGTACAAGGGTTTTAATTTGGCTAATAATGTCGCAGCATCAAGAATGCGCTGAGGAAATCATTTGCCGACAAAGCAAATGACTTTGCCATGGCTCTCAACACCATGCAACTTGCCATTTCGGGATTGGATGGCGATATTGAGGATCAGCTGCATCATGTCAAGAAACTCAGTGAAAACTTGCCCCCCCTCGATCGATATCTCAGTACCATTGCGGAAGTAGACGCCATGTGCGAGGAAGCAAACATTGAAGAGAACGACTTCACCACCTATACATATGACGAACTGGCATACGAGTTGACGCTCGTGAGATCCTCGGTTCAAAAGAAGCTCTCCTTCTTGGAGAACCAGATGGTCGCTCGCAACATGACTAACCTAACGCCTATTCAGCTGGAAGAGTTTGAGAGTGTGTTCCGCCACTTTGATCGCGATGCCTCGAATTCGCTCCAAGAGCTTGAGTTCAGTGCAGCCCTAGCCTCACTAGGCCTGGTTTTCTCCGAAGATGAGATGCACGATTACTTTGTCGACACCTCTGGAGGGAAAGAATATGTCACATTCGAGCAGTTTATCCGCTTCATGGTCGATGTCACCGAAGATCAAAACACCGCCGAGCAAGTCTTCCAGTCGTTCCGTGAGGTTGCAGATGGCAAGCCATATGTCACTGAAATGGATCTGCGCCACAGTCTTGTGCCTGAAGAGGTCATTGATAAGCTTCTCGAGATGATGCCGCCGCATAGCGGTCCAGATATGTCACGGGATCGTGGCAAAGACCAGTTCGACTACATTTCCTTCATGGAGAAGATGATGGGCGAAGGCGACGATAACGCGGACGGCGATATACCAGCCGGTATGCTCCAAGATGGAACAAACGCTGGCGATGATCGGCCCCGAAGAGATTCCAAGGTGAACGGCCATGGGTAGCCGTGATTAATGCTTCATCATCTATATGACCCAGCGTCATGTTTATGGACGACCTCCGTATAATTCTCTGTATACTCCCCCCCCTTTTTTTTCAATTTTCCCCCCTTGTCGCGCGTACACGCGTTATACGGAGTCTCTCCTATGTTGTCTGGATACTTGGTTGGAGAGGCAGCGGTGTTTTCTCGGTACCCTGGATGCATGCTTATGGTGTTTTTTTTTTTTTTTTTGGATGGTAAGGGTGCTGTAAAAATTGGACACAATTTTCATTATAGTTTCAAGTCTCGACGTTGAATAATAGTACTACGACGTTAGATAGTCAAATTAATTGGCAATGGCCTCCCTTTTATTGAATCACTCTTGTTACTGTTGCTTGTAGAATAACTGGCACTTTCGTATGTCAATCCGCTGCTTTTAATAGCCGGGGTCCGCGTTCGGAGACACAGAGAGGCCCACTAATGATCTCAGAGCCTAATTGGACGCTCTAGTGCCGCAAGAGCGACGCCTAACAGTGGAATTACGGCGCTCGAGCTGCCTAATAGGCTCCTGAAGAATTAAGCAATAGCTCCGGCTCTTGCCATCCGGAATTTCGATAACCGAAAGAAAGGAAGCTTCAACGTAGCAGCCCCGTCTGACTTGATTTTCTCTTCTTCTCTCCCTCATTGATCCCGCCTCGTTGACTGCTGGCCTCACAACCCACGCTCCCCTTGTTCACAGAGAAAATGGTTACACGATCGAGGCTTGTGCAAGTGCTGCGGGCGCCCAACCGGCGGATTGGCGCAATTGGCAGTGCTAGTTTTTTGACTAGCCATTCAGCTGCTTCAGCTCGATGCTTTGTGACTTCGGTGCCCAGACTGCTGTCTCAATCACATGCAGCCCAGCACCTGGCAAAGCTCACCACCGACACCTACCCTGAAATCAAGAGGGATGCCAAGTTTGCGTCACTGACGGCAGAGGATGTTGCTTACTTCAAGAACCTCCTCGGTGGCGATCAGGCCGTGATTGATGGCGTCAATGCAGCGGCTGAGGACGATCTCAAGCCCTTCAACGAGGATTGGATGCACAAGTACCGAGGCCAAAGCAGGCTCGTTCTCAAGCCAGGATCGACTGAGGACGTCAGCAATATCTTGAAATACTGCAACGACAAGAAGCTGGCCGTCGTGCCGCAGGGTGGTAACACTGGGCTGGTGGGCGGCTCGGTGCCTATTTTCGACGAAATCGTCATCAATATGGGTCGTATGAACAAGATTCACTCCTTTGACGAGGTCAGCGGCTCTCTCGTGTTGGATGCGGGATGCATCTTGGAGGTAGCCGATCAGTACCTCGCCGAAAGAGGATATATTTTTCCCCTCGACCTGGGAGCCAAGGGATCATGCCATGTAGGCGGTAATGTTGCCACCAACGCAGGCGGTCTGCGATTGCTGCGCTACGGAAGTTTGCATGGAACTGTTTTGGGCATGGAAGCTGTGCTGCCGGACGGCACCGTCATGAATGACATGTGCGCTCTACGCAAAAACAACACGGGCTACGACTTGAAGCAGCTGTTTATTGGCGGCGAGGGAACCATTGGCATCATCACCAAGCTGGTCATCCAGTGCCCGCAGCGCTCGGCTGCTGTCAATGTGGCCTTTTTTGGCGTCGATTCCTTCAAGAAGGCGCAGCTCGCCTTTCGAGAAGCCAAGCAGCAGCTGGGAGAAATCCTCTCGGCCTTTGAACTGATGGATTCTCGCAGCCAGCAGATTGTACACGAGATCAAAGGAGAAGAGCGACCGCTGGAGGGCGATCACCCATTCTACTGTCTGATTGAGACCAGCGGCTCCAATGGCGATCACGACAATGAGAAGCTGGAAAAGTTCCTCGAAGACGTCTTGACCAAGGAAATCGTGACGGATGGCGTCGTCGCGCAAGGTGAGTCGCAGGCCAAGGCGCTGTGGAGCTGGCGTGAGAGCATCACCGAGTGCATTGGACATGGCGGTGGCGTCTACAAGTACGATGTCTCGATCCCACTGGCAGAGATGTACTCGCTCGTCGAGGATGTGAGGGAGCGCATGGGGGAGGCTGGTCTGATCGGCGATGCCGAGGAGCACCCGGTGAGCGCAGTGGTGGGCTACGGTCATATGGGTGACTCTAACCTGCATCTGAATGTGGCTGTAAGACGGTATGACGCCAAGGTCGAGGAGGCTCTGGAGCCTTTTGTGTACGAATGGATTGCGAAGCGGAATGGCAGCATCAGCGCCGAGCATGGATTGGGATTGGCCAAGAAGAACTTCGTCAACTACAGCCGGAACGACACGGTGATTGGCCTGATGAAGCAGATTAAGAACCTGTATGACCCGGTAAGCTCCCTTGTCTCCTCGCTAGTGCGCCTTTCTTTTTCTTTTTTTACCGTTTTCGCTTGTCGTCTATCGCTTGTTTCTCATCCATGGCACCTTTTGTTTCAACTATTCGTGTTTCATGATCCGCCGTTTGCCCTCTGATCCATGATGGCACGTCACATGTGCCCATCGCTGCCTTGCGGCTGGAGGAGGGCGCGCGCAACCATGCACGATTTGCACACTATTGCTAAGCGGTAGGGCTGACACTGACGATTTGTTGATGACAGAATGGCATTATGAATCCGTACAAATACATTTGACCGGGATGTTGGACCGAGCAGTAGAGAGGGTGGCGGACGAGGATGCGATAGTAATGCCAGGACGTGCCAATTTGCGGCACTTTGCAAGTCATTTTCGGCCTTTTGCATGTCTGTATGTAAGTCATGACATACTAGCCTCCCGCCTAGTACGAGTAGCACATGTATGCGGACCGCTCCCCTGGATCCCCTTAGGCATACTCTTCACATCTTGTAACTCTTTTGAGCCTGGCGCCGTTTCCCGATCCAGTGTTATGTCGGCCGACACCGGTTTGTGCACACGGCAATAAGGGGGTTTGCCGGGCTAAACGCAGTCGCGGGAAACGGCGTTGCGATTGTAGCCCTCCGAGCAGACGCCGTTCTGGCGGTCTACGTGATGGCAGCTGGATCAAGGTATTTTACGAGGTTTTGAAGCACCCGGTTCTGGCGAGGCTGCTGGGTTCCCGGAACGGTTCCTTGGGGATTTCTTGACCGGGGGGTTCCGGGCGGCCTATCAGAGCGCCGGACGGGGTGAGTGCCGGATAGGCTGAGGGAGCCACCGAAGCCCAAAGAAGCCCGATGCATTCACCACGATGCTTTATCTCTCATAGGCTGTATTCCTGTCATTTCAGCAGCCCGTCCAATGGCAGCGCGCGCCTTGTGCAGACGTTCTGGTCGCTGACGCACAGAGACACGCTCAGTTGCCTCGGCGGATCAGCCAACCAGGAGCACAGCTGGCCCTCCGCGTCAGCCCTACGAAACTTAGTGCCAGAAACAATATGGTGGGACTGCAGCAGAGAGGGCTGCCGGCCATGTTAGCGCCATGCCGGGCGGACACAGAGGGTTGCTTTCTAATAGCAGAACTGCCCGGCAGGTGAGAGAGGGAAAGACGAGAGAACGAGATGCCATGAGACAGAGTGATTCCAGAGAGAGGGAGGGATGGGCTTGCAAGAGGCCTCGGAACCCCTGAACCGACTGACCGTTACCGTGTAAGCCTTGCATATCATGTTGACCCATGAAGCTCGATGCCGAGAGGCCATCGTAGCCTTCTCATTCGCCCGACGCCTGGTCGCCGTTCGTACGTTTTGGCTTCGGTGGTTGCCGGGCCTTGATGGGGGAAGCCACCAATCCACGTCCACAGCCCCATGCCAAAGGCGGAGATGGGTGCCTGCCACTGTTTGCCAAAGGCCAATGTTGAATTGCCATTCGACGCTCAAGAATGGACATATCTCGTGTGGAGATGATCAATTTCCTTCATCTAGTATGGTCCGTTTGCTGCCATGTGGTTCTGACTTGGCTGTCCCTGTTCACAACCTCACCTCCGTACCTGTCCCGACCCATACCAGTTCCATCCATCTACATGACTACCTACCTTGTTTGCTGCTAGAATAGCTCCCGTGCGCGAATGCATGTCCAGGAGGCCTATGGCTCACGCCGTCCCTCTTTGTCCCTCTTCCCTCTTTCCACAAATATATAACAGACCCAACATGATGCAAAGAGGATAGGCGGTGGCAAAGAGAGCAAGGCTGCGGGTCAGACTGCGGCATCAAAGAGCGAAGCAAGCAAACCTTTTGTTCTATAGACGAACCGGACAATTTATTTTCTTTAATTTCATTATCTTTTCTGGAAAGGCTCGAGAACCAAGCGCTGCCCTTCCCCACACAGGCCAAACCGCACACCACACACACACACACACATACATACGCCCACACGCACACACATCAAAGACTCCGAGGTCCAAAGACAGGCCGGGATATACACGCATTTATACGCATACACACACAAACGCGCCAAGCGCAAAGATCGACACAATGGTTGGTGTTCCGGGCAAGTATAAGGGGTGCGAGACTTGCCGCAGGCGAAGAGTAAAGGTTTGTTCCCTGTTTCCCCTCATTGATTCCTCTCGCATGAATCAAATATAGAAAAAAAAACAAGAGGAGACAAGAATGATGAAGATGATGGCGATACCGGCGACGAGAATGACAAATAGAGAAAGGGCGAGATAGAGAAAGAGACGACAAGAAAGACACTGTTGGAGAAAGCGACTGACATGATGAGGAAACAGTGCAGCAATGAGCGGCCCTTTTGCCAGAATTGCATCAGCAGCGGCAGAACCTGCGAGGGGTACGAAAGAGAGCGAGTCTTCATCACCGGCACGCCTGAAAACAAGGGCCGTGTTGCTTCGCACCCCAAGAAGACCACGCCATCCAGGAAGCCCAAGGCAAGCCCTAGCCCGAGTGTCAAGGCAGACGAGCTGGAGAGTGGCAGCAGCAGCATCATGAGCAGTCCGCAACTCTTTCAGCCTCTGGGACCACTAACCTCAGCATGGGACGATTACATCCGCTTGTCCTCTGGCGGCCCAGGAGCAACCGAGTTTCCCGCCCTGATTACCGCGCTTCAGACGAGTTTGCACAATGTCGCGAGACACGAAGTTCTAATCGGCGGCGAGAGCGGCGGCGACGGAGCCATTGCGGCATCTTTGAGTGCTTTGCAGTTCCCCCCGTATGCAGCGGCAGAGCTGCTATTGGTGGCGGACGATGCTTTCGGTATGAATGCACAATGCTTTGTGCGCCAAAAGGCCACTAACGCTGAGCATGACTCAACAGAGAGTTACTGCGCGTTTCTTTTCGAGGTGAGTTTTGTTTTGTTTTTGCTCGTTGTATAATGCCCATCTTCCGAGTCATGATTCCGCGGAGGCTTATTCTCCGAATGATCTCCTCGTTATATCCGATCAAAAGCTAATCGGCGATGAACCATCACAGCACGATACATCGGGTGCGGCATGGAGACTCACCGCAGAGCATATGACTCGGCTTGGACCACACTATTTCGCCTCTTTTCCAAATCATCATTTCTTCGTGAGGGTATATCGCCCTGTGGCTGTAGGTTGTCCCACTCGCATCTCCTCTTCTTGTCTCGAATTCTAACAATTGGATGATTAGATGAGTATTGCTCTTTTGAGCCGGCACGATACCTTTTTGCGAATGCCAGAATGGACGACGATACCATGGGAACAGCATCCGAAATCCCCTCTCGACGAGCTGTTTGACATTGTGCTTCAGCTTCCCGCCCTCCTCGAACAAATGGATCGAATCGTCCATCTACAAGCGACGCTTGCTCGCCGCACGCAAGCGCAAGAGCTCCTTCACCACTGCCTGATTGTAGAAACACAATTTCGACAATGGCTGCAAGGCGCTTACAGGGGAGCAGATGAGCATTCCTTCCCGTACTGGGCCGAGGAGCTGAGGAGCCCTGGTGGCGCCATTCCTTTTGCCAACGCATACGCCTTCAAGGACGGACTCACGGGTGTGATGTTTGTCTATTATTGGATGGCCATGATTCCATTCCATCAGTGCATTGAAACGATTCACATGGCTATTTTCGAGCCTGTTGTCGACGCGTACCCCCAGGTGTGGCCGGAACTGCCATCCAGCCTGCAAATTGACCCAACCCACTACCAAGACGGGCGGGAGCTGGCGGCTAATATATGTCGAGGGCTTGATTCGGCGCTTGAATCTACTGTACAGCCTGATATGCTCTTGGGCCCGATGACGGTTGCCATGAACTTTTACCGGGATATCAATGTCACATCACAGGATGGTGTGCTTGAGATTCTCTGGCTGGACGGCTTTAAGAAACGGTTGTGGGCAAAAGCACAAGCCGTGACGAGCGTCTTGCAGGCCCATACGTGGTCTGAAGTGGCTAAATTCTAATGAGTAATATATTTCGGAATGTGTCAAAAACGATGAGCGATGAGAGGATGTACGAAATACCGACGATCGAACGAAGGACGAAAGTGAAACAAATATCGGATTCGCGACTAGGACGACGAACGATGACGGTGTTACAGTGTAGAATACCTTGTATAGCGACATTTGAAACTTGATTTTTTTGTTTTCAAGAGGAAGAGAGCGGGAAAAAGATAGATAGATGGGATCCATATATAGAGGTTTTTGCAAGTGAGAGACAGAGACAGCTGGACTGCCGTGGAACAAAGGGACAAACAAAGAGCGGAAAGCTTTTTTTTTTATATATACAACCAAGCGGGACATTGGCTTCTTTCTGAGAAGGGGGATTTTTTTTCTATGTGAAAGCGGAAATTGTGTAACTTTCTATAGCTTTTTTTTTTCTTGAAATACAGATTACTACTCCTATTCCTACTTACTTATCAATCAGCTTCTATTTTGGGAAGTTGTGCTTGTTTTATGTCTTGGTAAGACAGCCTGTTTTGTATAAGTCATGCATGGCTAATAATAGCACCATATTTGAGACATACAGGGTGAAAACACGCGTAATTTTCGTTCTCTTAGAGATACGCTAATGTTTGTACTGGATTGGTTTAGGCGATCTGACGTGCTGCTTTTAACTTGATTTGTCTTGCTGCATTCTGTGATCTTTAGAGGCAGATCCTCGCATGGCAACCAAGGGTATAACCCGTATTACTACTAGCATCAAAAATCTAGATCGAGTTTGTTGATTATTGACTTTCTTTGGTGGAGCAACTTGCTGCATGTTTGCTTTGCCACCTGCGACTACTGATTTGGATATTCGTTTTATATGCGCTTGCATTTTATCTCCTTTCGGTAACTCGTATGCAGAGCTTTTTTTTCCATACTGAGATTCAGTAGTTTCGTTAGCGCCAGATCAGATCAGATTAGATCGTAAGGTGGAACCATTTCTAAGATATGTTTTGAATGCATGTATGTGTAATTGATGGCTTCTTTTATTAGAGCATGGATGAATACTGATTATTGCATTATTTAACGTTTAGGACGCATCATTAAGAAAATGTGTTGTTGGGGGAAGAGTGTTTGATTTGCATAATTTTCGGAAACTGGATAGTCTTGGCAACTACCTACCTTACTTGGGTAGAATCTCATTATACCTTCTATAAGTACCTAACTTCGAGCTCTAAGAGATGTTCAGTTTCGGATCGCTCAGTTTTTAATCGTCTCTACTTATCTCTGTGCTGTTCGCATTTCATTCGCTATTATGGTAAGGCTGTCTCAGTTAAGCGCTGTGGGAGGCCTACAACATCAATCATGTGCCGTTCAGCAGCCTTGAGGTAGGCTAACGCTGCTACCCGATGAGAATTTGTCCAATGAGACGCGCATACTCTTCTTATCAGCGAAATCTGCATGAAGTGACACATGAAAGTACATGTATTAAGTCTACCTAAGGTACGGTTAGGTGTTGGCCGCCTAAGGAAGAGGGCTGTCATAGCAGAGGTTGGAGAGGTATAAGAACTGAGCCATTTCGCACTCAACGAGCGATCGGATCCTTCGCTTCACATCACCCAATTCCAAGAACATATTTTACAACGTTTACCACCATGCAAGCCCTGCAAGAACTTTTCAGCTGCCTTTGCGGTTCATTCGAGCCTGCATCAGATTTCTATTCTGAACAGAAACAATTCACCTCAGTGCTCTTGTCTCCCACATACGATCCAATTGCATGCACTCATGAAAAGGTTGCGGTTGACGTTGTTGCCGTTCTACTTCGCTCAGAAAAGCATGGTAAAGACCTCAGGAAACAGCTTGATGAGACAGTTGGAACGCTTGGCTGGTCCGAGATGCTGGCGAAACGCGTCTTGAATGCTCTGGTAGGAGCTATTAGAGAGGGCCGTGACAAGATGGGTCCGGCCTTTACCAAGGCGTATGACGATGCCGCCAAAGAGGCTGATTCTGTGTTCCACCAACTTGTAGAGGATGCAAAAAATCATCCTCTTGAGCTGGTAGCTACGGTGCTCATCACCGTCATTGCTATCGGCGTGCTTGTGGCGTTGGCACCATCTGTTTTGGAGCTCTTGGGATTTGGTGAGCTCGGGCCTGTAGCAGGTAAGTTCCAAGTCTTTTCTTTGATTATGAGTCTGTTTTGATCGCTATTGTCCATTTCTAACATATTGCTGATGATAGGCACTTTTGCTTCCTGGTGGGAGTCGACATATGCAGGTTACATCCCCGCAGGATCCATGTTTTCATTTTTCCAGCGCTTGGGCATGATTTGGATGCGAGCATAAAGAAAACCAGGGAGATATTGATAACAACGGAAAATGCATTTAGTGTGTAAATAGTTGGGCTTTACTTGATCTCTAAATCAATTTCTGATAGAGTTGAGAGTCATTAGTGTAGAATCAGACGAGTGCTGAGAAAGAAACATATGAGAACTGAGTTTGGCTGCCCGAGTACATCTTGTTAACTGTTCAAAAAGCTGTTTTAATCCCACGTATGTACTATTACTTGTTCATCATCAATACCAAGAAGATACTGCCCAATAGAAGTAAATTTAATGAACTGTGTCCAGTGTTGGAAGTGTATAAGGGGAATGCCTCCAAGTAATGGGTGATGCGTCATGTGATCTTTAACTTGTCCGTCATTCAAGCCACGCTTGCGCCACAAGATGATGTACGTACCTGTTGCCCGCCATCACGTTTCTCCGTTCCCCAGCGCGGCTGCCAGGGAGCTCCAGCTCTAGCCTTCCAACGTACCGCCACAGACAGCCAAGGTAGGTAGGCTGCCACTCTGACGAAGCTCCGCTGGAACCAGCATATCGACCCCCCCAATATCGACGTCAAAGCAGAACCGCAACCTCATCTTCCACAGCATTGACCCGCCACCAGATTGCATTCTGTGGCACTGAGCGAAGAACGATTGTTTATATTTCACTTTCTCAGCCAGTAAGTCGAGGCCATGGCATCTGGTTACGACAGAGCTCTGTCGGGTAAGTTATTCCGCATTTCTGGATGGTCTCGGTATCGATGCTGACATTGTGCTTGTATCCAGTCTTCAGGTTTGTGCTGCTGCAGCCGCGTTTGCCTCCGAATCTATCATCTGACACTATTGCAGCCCCGACGGACACGTTTTCCAGGTTGAATATGCCGGCGAAGCTGTGAAGAGAGGTTCGTTCGACGACACCAACGCCGTCTTCCACCCCCACCTCGACTGACTTTCTCGGGATAGGTACATGCGCTGTCGGCGTCAAAGGCAAGGATGTGGTTGTGCTAGGATGCGAGAAGAGGTCTGCAATGAAGCTGCAGGACACACGAATTACGCCTTCCAAGATCCAGGTCCTGGATCACCATGTCGCTCTGGCCTTTGCCGGCCTGAACGCAGATGCCCGAATCCTCGTCGACAAGGCACGATTAGAAGCCCAATCCCACCGATTGTCGGTTGAAGACCCCGTTACGATCGAGTACATTACAAAATACGTTGCCGGTGTGCAGCAGCGCTATACACAAGCTGGAGGTGTGCGGCCATTCGGCATCAGCACCCTGGTGGTTGGCTTTGACAATGGCAGCGAGGTGCCCAGACTGTACCAGACAGAGCCTTCTGGTATCTACTCAGCTTGGTAAAGCTCTCTTATCACGACAAACATCCACGCTATGCCTCTTTATAATGGCTAATCTTTTGACTTTTATAGGAAAGCGAATGCTATTGGTCGCTCAAGCAAGACGGTCCGAGAGTTCCTGGAGCGAAACTACAAGGAGGATATGGATAGACAGGCCACCATCAGACTGGCGATCAAGTCCCTTCTCGAGGTCGTCCAGACAGGCGCCAAGAACATTGAGATTGCCCTCATGGCCCCTGGCGCATCTATGGAGCTGCTGCCGACGGACGAGATTGAGGGCTTCGTGAAGGAAATTGAGCAAGAGAAGCAAGAGGAGGCTGCCAAGAAGAAGACGGGACGGACACCAGGCACTGGAAGCGCTGCTATTCTGACGAGAAGCGGCGAGGACTCTGCTGCTGAATAAAGAATAAATGGGACTTGGTATTTATTGGAATGCAAACAAACTTAGAGCGCGGATGACGCTGTGTCAACATATGCAGATCTGAACAAGGGATGCCGTAAACAAAATTGCACCCTATCTTTGAGGGGAAAAAATGAACTCCAATTTATTGTGATGCCGTGCAACGCCGCTATTTCCTAAACACAAGTGCATAATGCCACTCAGCCAAGCTTGTCGGCCTCTGGTGTTGGGTCAAAGATGGTCCTCATGCCATCCTGCTTTACTCTTTCGTCCTTCAGCAGCCTGTTGTTCATTCTGACATCGTCGCCCTCAATGGTCAAGGCGGCCTTGGGGGTCTTGGCTTCGATGACGAAGTGGTTATCGCAGTGGGGGCAGTATTCGTCGCTCTCGTCAAACTCTTCGGCGTCTTTGCGGAAGACCTTTTTGCACTTTTTGCAGGCAAAGGTCATTTCCATGCTCTGCTTGAGAGTATGGGTTTCTTGCTCCTGGTGGCACTCTGCGCAGTCGAACCATTTCCGGCCTGGTAAGTTTCGGGGTTATGTTAGCAGACGAGGTTGAGCCAAGTCGAGACAAGCCAAGGCATTGCGTATGGTGGTGGTCTGATGATAGCTTGGGTGATGTTGGAATCGTAACGTACAGCAGGGTGACCGGATGGCGACTTGGGCGTTGAGAATGTGTTTGCTGGACGCATAGTTAGCATTAGGGAGAGCCTCTCGGTATTTCGGTTTCGCGGTGTGCTGAGGTATGCAGTACGTACCACATGGTAAAGCCAGAAGCTGCAGCTTGAAATAATTCCTTTTTGTCGATTTCCTCCTGATTACGAAAACGAGAGCTTAACTTTCGGTGCTGTCCACCTTGATGAATGTGTATTTCAGGAGCTGCTAAAGATTATCGTGCCTCCAGTGGTCGATTTCTCAGATGCCCAAGAACAGCTGCTATTGGCGGGGTGTTTTTAGTGCATCCGCCTCCCTGGGCTGCCAGGTGGAATATGGCGCCTTGGTACTTGAGGCTTAGCGCCCTTTAGCGCTCATGTGTCAGCATTCAACCTGTGACCTGGGTGGTAAATGACCGTTAAGTCAAGTTCGCCGCCTAGACCAACGGAACCTTCTTTTTGGTTTCTTCCTCAGTCGCTGGCTTGCTTGCTCGCCACTTCTCATTCTCTTAACAACGTTGCGACCGCATCTCTTTTCGCCAGGAAGACGACTACGGTTCGCAGTCTTGAAATAGCAGGATATTCGATGCCTCCCAAAAGGAAGGCTGGCACCAGCGCCGTGCAGGGAGGGTTGAAGGCCGGACGGTCCTCACGCATGTCGACGCCAGGGGGAGTAACTCCTCGCAGCATCGAGAGTGGCGACGAGGTGGTGGAAGAAGAGGACGCTCCCGTGGACGAAGAGCTGGAACAGGATATCGACAAGAATATAGATCGCTTCTCACTGGGGCGGTACCAGAAGAAGCACCACATCCGGGAGCCTCTCCCCCATATCTTTGGTAGCAATGATTTCTCGTATCTCGATCTCAAGAAAGATCATCAGAATCGGCCGCTATGGATCGATCCTCAGAAGGGCAGAATCATCCTCGAGAGTTTCAATCCGCTGGCCGAGCAGGCTCAAGATTTCCTGATTACTATTGCGGAGCCTTTGTCGCGCCCGACGTTCATGCACGAGTATGCTCTTACCACCCATAGTCTCTACGCCGCTGTATCTGTCGGCTTGTCGCCTCATGACATTATAAATACTCTCGATCGCTTTCTCAAGACGCCTCTGCCGGTCGAGATTCGGTCGTTCATTGAAAGCTGTACGCAAAGCTACGGCAAGGTCAAGCTTGTCCTCAAGAACACCAAGTACTACGTCGAGAGTCCGGATCCCAACATGTTGCAGATGCTGCTTAAAAACCCCAGGATCGGCCCTCTTCGCGTTCAGGGAACGGCAGAAATCACGACGTCGGCAGCACCTAAGCTCGGGAACCTGGTCATTCCTGGCACTAAGAATGCTGCGGGTGCAAAACAGGCGAACGGCGGCGAGCAACCCCATGAAGGCCAGCCAACCCAGGAAGGCGACGTGCTCGCTCGACTAGGCGAAGAAGATGACGACGACCAGGAAGTCACACACTCGTTTGAGATTGCAGACAAAGACGTCGAGACTGTACAGAAAGAATGTCTTAATCTGGGGTTCCCCGTTCTCGAGGAGTACGATTTCCGACGCGACGAAGTCAACGCGACTCTCGACATCGACCTTAAGCCCGGCACTCAGATTCGTCCTTATCAGGAGAAAAGCCTTAGTAAAATGTTCGGAAACGGACGTGCCAAGAGCGGCCTGATCGTCTTACCTTGTGGTGCTGGAAAGACGCTGGTTGGCATTACCGCAGCATGCACTATCAAGAAAGGCGTCATTGTGCTGTGCACTAGTTCCATGTCCGTCGTTCAGTGGCGCAATGAGTTTTTGAAATGGTCCAACATTAATCCAGACGATATTGTCGCCTTCACATCAGACTCCAAGAACAGCGTCTTCACAGGAAGCACCGGCATCATAGTGACCACTTACTCCATGGTCACCCAATCCAGAGCCAGATCATACGACGCCGAGAAGATGATGAGATTCCTCACTGGGCGAGAATGGGGTCTGATGCTTCTGGATGAGGTTCACGTCGTGCCCGCCAACATTTTCCGAAAGGTTACCTCGTCAATCAAGACTCACTCCAAGCTGGGGTTGACGGCCACGCTTCTGCGAGAAGACGACAAGATCTCTGATCTCAACTTCCTTATCGGCCCAAAGCTATTCGAGGCCAACTGGATGGAGCTGTCAAAGCAGGGTCATATTGCGCGGGTCCAATGTGCCGAAGTCTGGTGCCCAATGCCTACCGAGTTCTATGACGAATATCTTCGAGCACCATCACGCAAGAAGAATTTGCTCTACATTATGAACCCACGCAAGTTCCAGGCTTGCCAGTATCTAATCAACTACCACGAATCGAGAGGTGACAAGATCATTGTCTTCTCGGATAACGTGTACGCCTTGAAGGCCTATGCCCTGAAATTGGGAAAAGCATTCATCTACGGCGGCACTGGACAGGCGGAACGTCTGCAAGTGTTGGAAAACTTTCAGCACAATCCGCAGGTCAATACGCTGTTTCTATCAAAGATTGGCGATACGTCGCTGGACTTGCCGGAGGCTACGTGCTTGATTCAGATATCATCACATTACGGATCTCGACGTCAAGAGGCGCAGCGGCTTGGACGAATCCTAAGAGCCAAGCGTAGAAATGACGAAGGCTTTAATGCCTTTTTCTATTCGTTAGTCTCCAAAGATACGCAGGAAATGTATTTTTCATCCAAGCGACAAGCCTTTCTGGTTGACCAGGGCTACGCCTTCAAGGTCATCACTCAACTGGCAAATATTGAGAAGACGCCCGGGTTGGCTTTTGCAACTGCGACTGAGCGCCGTGAGCTTCTACAAAAGGTCCTAGTCGAGAACGAGACGATGGATGATGAAGATATCACAGATGATTTATTCCACAGTGGTACAATGGGGCGCAAGAAGAAGGGAGCGGCTCGCCGAACGGCAGGCACTTTGGGCGAGCTCAGTGGTGGACAGGACATGGCCTACATTGAGCAGAACAAGAAGATGAATGCTGCTCTCAAGAAAGGAAAAGGAAAGAAGGAGAGCAGCGCGTTCTTCAAGAAGATTGGGCGAGAAAATGCTCGGCGAGCTGCCTTGGCTTAGGCATGCAACCAGCACACGATTCCATTTTTGGGCAATCTTCTCTAAAGACCTACTACAGATTGGATGGTTCGGCTCTGACAGAATGTTATTTGGTGCACGACGTTGTGGTCTGTACATGACAGCTTTGCGGAAATGCAAACTGCTCTCTGGGTAAATGGCGTTATTGGTTTTGGACCTTGTATTAAAGCGAAAAGGGTCTACATTGACCCATAAATGAAATACATTCTTAGACGATCAAGTTTGCTCTATCAAATATAACATTATCACTCACTTCGCTGTTTCACATTTCAGGTTACCTGCGTGCATTGTGAGCAGTCATATAAGTAAGCATCTCGTGACAGCCATCGTATGTTGGCGAGACATTGGGAAGGAATGTCTACGGCGAATCGAGTCCAATGGATCGGCAATGCAAAGAGGAGGCCTGGAGATGCCCTACGTTTGCTCAAACCAAGAGGCATTATTTTCATTGGATGCGGATGAGAGAAATGCCCACGCCTCCTCACACGCGATGTCGGCATCGTGAACTGCCTTATTAGCCGCGATAAGCAGAATGGCGAGCTACACAGACGTATGTGCCACAGCTGAATGGTCATCGTGTGATATGTTGATCCATATTTTTCTTCCTTATTTTGGAAGGGGTTTGACTTGCGAGCGAACCGCTAAGCGAACATGGCAGGCTCATGCATGTGTATGGACCTATCCATCTTGCTCCCCCCCACGGAATGATGCTGGGCTCGATGCACGGAGAATTGGCCAAGTGGGCTTGGCGCCTGATTGGGAGCATGGGCTTAAGCTGTTGCTTTTTCTTCTTTGAAAGAGAATGGATTAGGAACGGAGGAGACGGTCCTATGTGCGCGGGTATGGTAGGCGTGGTGCATGTGCATGTGCGTCGGCGTATGTGTATGCACGTCCATGGGCCTGTGCATCGTATAGACCGTATCTATCGACGATGCACGGGTTTGGGTCTTGTTGTATCACAGGTGGGATTGATAGATAGCTTTGACGTTGGTGTTGGTGATGTGTGGAAAGGGCATTGATGTGGTTGCGCGAAGCGTCGAGCTTTTGGTTCTAGAACATGCCTGTTGCAGATATGCTCATTAAGTATATCTTGCGTCGTTGTACAACGATGGAGGCCGATATAGTTGGGAGATAAGGTATAGACTAGGATTCATCTTGCGTCATGTCATACCAATAAGAGCACCTCAATCACTCCGAAGAATGTAGGTAGGGGAGCCTCATCGGTCAATGGCCAAGTTAGTTACTCAATGGGGGTCATGTTTGCCGTTGGTGTTTGCTTGCTGAGATGAAATGAATCGGCCATTGCTGCGAAAGGCCGGGGCCATGGAACGAAGAAGCAAGATAAAACGAGAGACGGACGCTGCATTTGGCTGAGAGGCTATCGCAATAATGGAGAGCCGTAACGAGAGCCACAAAGAAATGGGGCAGAGTGGCATGTATAAGAAAAGTGCCGCAAAATGACACGTTCGTAGTGCTTGTACGGGGTTTGGAATCTTGGGGGTCGGCGGTGGTGCATTGTGAGCTCTGAGTTGGGGATGATAAGAGAGTTGGGTGACATCATGGTCAGCTATGACTGGTAACATTTGGCTTTCGTGATGCTGCCCAATGTTGTTTACGATATTGCGAAGAGGGCAGTTGCACTGCAGTGGTCCTCTCTTAGAGTGCTGCTGCTTATTCCTGCTATGGGTGTTGATCGATTGTAGGTAGATACAAAGCTATAGAGTGATTGATTATATCAACAGCGCCGTTTATTTTTTAGCACTCGACTGCTATTGATGAGATTTCATTAGCACTCATCTACCCCGGCTTCGCGCGGCATGGCCGTCGGGCACTACGGGGCATTTATTGATTCGGGGGGGAAATCGTTGAGTACTTCGTTGGTACAGCATATTCGCTGTTCGGCGTTTCTGCTGGGGCCGGTCGCCACATGGACCGCCGCGTGTTTTTATTCAAGGCTCAAGCTCCCTTTCACAGAGGCATTGCTTACAAAAGTAGATCAGGGGATAGCATTGGGGCGCTGGAACG